CATCATTTTGCTCGTATTAATTAAAAATATTTATACCCATGGGAAATTGGAAAATAAATCGAAATAAAAAATATCATACATTACTTGAGATTATAAAATATGATTACACTACAGTTGATGGTTTAATAATCACCAAAATAAAAATATTTACCATTTAAATAGGTTTTTTTTCTAGAAGTCAGTCTCTTTTTGATGAAGTTAAGTATTTTAAAATTTAAATTACACTGAATTATTAAAATACATTTTTTTTCTAAAAGTTTATTTAATACAATGGCTTTATAATATCATGAATAAATGACCCATGACTTTTTCCTTTTCTTGTTCCACTATTCGAATGAACGTAGATAAGGAACAAAATATATGAAGAGATGAGATCCTGCAAACTCATCAGCTCAACACTTATCTCCTCTTCTATCACTTCAAGTTACAATCGTTCACTAAGAGTATTATGAATTATGAAGTAAAATTGCTGCTTCTGCAGCACAGAAATTCTCCTCGACTTGCTTTTTACTTTCAAACATGAACTTTGATAGACAATTAATTGTAATTAAATTTCCTTCTCGCCGATTATTCAGTTTTAATAATCTATTGAATAAAAATATCATGTAATTAAAACAAGATCGTTAAAAATCTTATTAATACTCTCAAATTTTTAACTTACAATTTTGTCTGACTATATCTTACCTCTATCACTGATTATTGTAACTGAAAAAAAACTTGGTCAAGATAAATATCGTTACAAGACTTAATTTGCGATATAATTATCGAAGATAATTAAAAAGTAAAATACAACTGAACTATTTTTTATTTAATAAAGAACACAGTGAAAAAATTTATTGTGAACAAGAAATATTTTTTTCAACTAACAAATTTTTTTTAAAATTGACATGAAACATTTTTCAGGATTTAGTACTGATGGGTATTTAAAAAAAAATTCATTGAAAATTGCATTTTTATTGTGCTCGATTCTTTTGAACAGAATTATCTGAGTATTGATTTATTTTAATGTTTCGTATTTTTTTTTTAAGATCCATCGTGTTTTAGAAAGCAATAATTAATCTAATGTCACTTTTATTTAAACACTATAAATCTCAGTGTTCCAAAATGCATTATTTTAATACGGATAAGTGTGTTATATATGACGTCACCCATTTGATTAACATTGTAGTCACTTTTAATGCAGATCTAAGTGTGTAAAAACCCATTCGATTAACATTGCAGTCACTTTTTACACACTTAGATCTGCATTAAAAGTGACTACAATGTTAATCAAATGGGTGACATCATATTTAACACACTTATCCGTATTAAAATAATGCATTTTGTAAAACTGGGATTTAGAGTGAACTAATCATAATTTTGAACCAAATATCAAAATAAAATTGTTTTAAATTCAGTAAAAAATTTTATTGCAAATATTTCAAGTTCTTTTGATTGATTAAACGAACATTTTTAGATAAAGTGAAAATTTGATTTCATTATACTTTTTAGATATATTAAGAGAAATGTTGGTTATGAAGTATAATATATTGATCGACTTTTACAATAAATTGGATCATCTAACAAGCTAAATATCGTGAATAATGTCGAAAACAAATTATCGTAGCATTATGTTCGCACACATAAGCATTCACGATGATTAATTATATAATTAGATAATTAGAGAGTAAAATTGAAATTTATTGACCAAAAATTCTCAGAATTCTATCGCTTCAGGTCACGTACGTTAAACGTAATTACCAAAACTGTTAAAGCCTAGCATTTCCGGTGCTGGACGAGAAACGCTTTCCAACCAAGCAATTAAACCGAGTAGCTAATTAGAGCGTTAGCTAGCATACTCCAACTACAGTATAGCGACGATGCGCGGCGCCATCGACAAGTGGATTTTGCCCGCAGGAATAATCTTGTGGTTTGAGGGTCGCGTACTGGACACTTGCTTTCATGTTCTCTACCATTGTTTGTTTTCTCATTATGCATTATTGATTTTCATCTACATCTACATATACATAACAAACCAATATCTTCAATTGCATCTCTAGTATCCATCATTACAAATCTCAAATAGAATTTTCAAGCTTCCTCAATCATTAATTGAACTCTCAATAAATAAACCAACATTTAATATTTCATCAAATGAACAAAATTATTGAAGAAAAACGAAATCTTTTTTAAACTGTTATCAATTTTTTGTTTAATAATTATGCATGAATGAAAAAGAATGACATAAAATAGTTTTTTGTTTGCTAAAAAATTGAAAAAAAAAAAAAATACAATTAATGATGGTTGACGTGATGGGAAAATGAATAAATGGTAAAACTGACAGTGTGATTCATTGAAACGGAGATTACTTGAAATGTGAACTAACATGAAGTGACCGTCAACGCTGTAAATGGGTTACTGTTCTGAAATCGGAGTTCCGTAACAAATTGACTACGGTAATTACTTCTAATGATTACGTGACCAACATGGACCAGTCTTGTGTTATATGTAATTTTATACTATTATACAATGTTGTCTTAAGCCTTCAAATTTTTCACTATTTTTAAAATGAAAAATATTTCTACGATATTAAAGGAGACATGTCAATAAAGTGAAACCAGATATTCTTATCACTTTGGACCAATTGAAAAATGAGACGAATGATAATAATGTAAAATAAGACCAAATAACAACTTCAGGAAATAAATTAATAAAGAAAAAGTTTATTAAAGATTGGCAGCAATTAATTAAAACGAAAGAATCCGTGCGATCAACTCAAGTCTCAGTCAAAAACTGGAGATAAACAAACTCTCCCCTCGTTGCTATAAACAATTTAATCGTCAAGCAATTGTCGTTCATTAACAAACTGTCGTTAGTCTAATAGTCATTAGATAGCGACATATAAATATTTTACAATAATTTCCAAATGAGAAGTTGATAAGAATAAACTTGAAAATAAGACACTTTACAACAGTGAGTTTGAAAATGATTTTATTTTCTAAGATTTTTCTTTTATTTTTGAATGCACAAATTAAATTGTTTAATTTAACGTGAGGTTGATAGAAACTCTATTAATTCCATTACTGATCGAATAATTCGAGCGTTAACGATTTAACTCAGCTTGACATGACTCTAATTAATATTCTATTTCATATAAATAGTAAACTCACTTTGTACATAAAATACAACAATAACTAATATTAACATATTTAATCGAATAACTAACTAATGTTTATTTTATTATTTTCAATATAAATAATAAATGAGATATGAGTGTCAAGTAAACATTGAATACTCTAATTAAAAAGATTAAATATGATAACATAATAAATATGAAAACATTCATTGGTAATTCTATTATATTAAACATTCACTCACAAATAATTATGATTATATCAAAATTTTAAACTCTAATTAAATTTAATATAATATCCAAATAATGAAAATATTTATTGCATCACTATCCCTATCATTGTTTCAATGTTTTAAGTTTCCATTAAATTTAAAGCCACCTGTTATTCAATCAAAAGATTCCTTAAAAATATGTTAATATTTTTCGTTATTGTTAATAAGTGATTATTTAATTGCAAGATATGTTTAATAATAATTATAAAGAGTAAAGAATAATTATAATAAAATACTAGATTGTTAAATTAAATGCTATATTTTATTATATTTAATGTTAATTATTTAAAAAAATGTACAAATAATTTACAACAACATTAAATGAAAATTTATTCAAGTTGTTTAATTTACATTTTCTTGGTCATTATATTTTTAAAAATTATCAAATAAATATCCGAGTGAAGAAAAAACTTTGCTCGTAGAAAATGAACGTTATGTGAATTAATTATTCATTTTGAATAATTATAATAAATTTTCTCTACAGTCATTCATAAAAGTAACTTTTTTATATTTGTATGCCGTAGTGTTTCTTGAAAATAATCTGCTGAATGTTTGATACGGATATTTAAAAAAAAATTCCTCACAAAGTTTTGAGTTTATAATCAAAACATCTCCGGCAGAGACTACTCAAGTAGATGAAAAATAATTGTGACATAAAAAACAAACTAATTAAATATTTTACACTCGAGCGCAAACTTAAAGCTCTAAATTACCAAGGAGAAAGAGAAATAATTTGAAACTACCGCGAGTCAGGTCGTTTGCACATTTGCGGGTAATATAAATTTAAAAGTTCATACTACAACGATACTTTTGCATTCTAATGAGTATTGCTACATAACTTTTCGTTTGTTTCAATAATTTTTATATGACATATTACTCTACTACTATTGCTCAATTATTCGCTACACAGTTTGTAATAAACTTTATTATTCTTCATTATTTTTTTTTTTCTTTTAACTAACATCTATGGGGAGTTGAAAAAGAAAAATTTAAGAATTGGTTAAAAATCATAAATTAGACAATTACATTAGAAAAAAAAAATACGATAGGAAGAAATGCGAACTAGAGTGTTAACTGGATCACGGCCAATTTTGAATGTGCCAAGCGCACGATTGGTAGTACAGATATGATTTATCGAAGGGATGTTATCGAGCTATGAGTGAATTGAAGGCATAAAGGAAGAAGAAAATGAAAGAAAAAAAAAAGTGGTAAGAAATTTAAATATGACTAAAAAATTTGAAAGAAGAACGAATTAAAAGAAAAAAAGAAGACTTTTAATTATCTTCTATATGTCAAAAAAATACCAAATTTTTTCTCCTTTAATAAAACAGTAATTAATTATTTTCAACATAACAATTCAAATTAAATTCTATACATTACAAGCATATATTATTATTTATATTATTTAATGTGTTTATTCACGCATATATTTCTGTACGTGATGATATAAAATATATTAAATATATGCACCAGTGGCCAAACACTTGCAATATAACATGAAATAATTGAAATTATTGCAGTACCACCATACGTAATAGTTTCTACTATAGTATAGAATTAATTAGCGAACTTGCAAGATAATCAATTTGTGATTTACATTAAATTCACATACTCACCCTTTAATAATGCTTGAGTTAATGAATATAATTATTTTAATTTTTCACTATTTATTATTCATTTCATCATATCATTGAAATCAGTTACTTTCATCTCCAACACTTAGATTTTTCATGAACATCCCTCTTTAATCACATATCCGATAAAAGATCATTTTTATTTATTATAATCTCAAGTCTCTTATCATTTAATAAATTATAATTATTTATATAATAAATTATTAGCAATAATTATTAAATTACAAACACACGTCTACAACAGACTTTAATTATTGACATGTAAACAAGTATAAGCATCTTTTTTTTTCAATTTTGAAATATAATTTACATTACTTTCCAATTTAGTGTGGAATAAATAACAAAATATTTCTCTGATAGGAAACTTTTATTTGCTGGAACTATTTTTTATTACTATTGAAATAGAATAATTGTATTAATTAACAATAATAAGAATTAGACTGAAGAGATAACGAAATCTACAGAGAAAATAATTGTTATTAATCAAATAGTAATGAAATGTTTTGAAATTTTTCACGTTAAATGAAAATACTTGATATAGGTTTGATACAAAAGAGGAACTTTATCCAACTTAAATTGAAAATTCACGAGTGCAAACTTTTACACTGAAATTAAATAAACGATTTATTTTGAAAATCATTGTTACTCATAGTATTTTTTTGATTAATATTCAATTAAATGTATACACTTGATTATTAAATACACTATTATTAACTGTTATTTTACCATCACATTTAATATTTAATATTGTTTATTAATAATATGAATTAATAATTTTGATTTAAAAAAGATAAAAACTGGATTTTAAATCACAATTTAAATGAAAATGATGATAAAAATAGAGGATACCAATGAATATCTATCTCCCGGTCAACCGGTTGCTTGTTTCGGCAAAGAGATTCGGCAAAGAACTGATAGACACCGCGGCAAAAGCTACAGCGCACCAATGGGACGCATCTATATCCTCATCCCCAACGACGTTATGCGCCGTTGGTGTCTACATCCCATTCCACACTAGTTACCCATTTCCCTAACTCATCGCCTTTGCTGTCTGCATATACGTCCACTCGCCAATTCAACTGTCCACCTGTCGTCCTCTTAGTTTGACTTTTACGAAAATTCATTTACTAAGCCATTTTAAGTCTTTTTCACGGCTTCATTGTGGCCACTTTGCATAATAATTGTCCTAAATAAAATTATATCTAATTCATGAATTTTTAAATATTCTTTTCGTTAATACACCAACCCATACAACCCCATTTTAATCTCAATAATTAATTATTTCATGCTATTTAAAATAAATTGGTTACCATTGGTCATGAACTCCAATACCATTAAATATATTGTAAATTTATACATTGATAAATAAATATATGTCTCCAATTATGGACAAGTCTTTCGGAATCTGCCTTAATTTATTCATCTTTAATTAAATATTTTAGTTTCTATTTTTCTATATTTTATAAAATAATCAAAGTTTACAAAAATTTTCTGAAAAGTAAAAAAAAAAAAAAAAATGATTTTTTATTAATTTTAATTAATTAATTAAGGGATTGTATTAAGTGAATAAAAAGAAATGTAACATTAATTGAGTTATAAAATGAAAATATAATAGTAGTAACATTTTTGATGGAATGAGAGCAAGGGAATTATTTGCCAGTAAAGATTGACAAGCATAAAAGAGATGACACGCAGACAGGAGGAATTGACCTCAATCGAAGAACTCAATGAGGGACACGAGAATGTGAAGCTTTTACGTCCAGTCAAATAACGAGATACCCATGCTCTTTATATTCATATGAAAAAATTCCACTTCCTTTCAATGAATTTATAAATTATTTATAGCGATATATTTTTTTTTTTTTCATTTAATAACTTTATTTTTACTGAATGTTAATGAGATTTTTACTACGGTGTAATTATTGTCATTTTATATGATAATTTTTCAACACTTTTATCATCAAGGTGTAGATATATATATATTTTTTTAGTGTTTATCGTTAGAGTCGATATAATGCAGATTGCAGAACGTAATTCATATTTTGGATCTTAAAATTAAATTTAATCGCTTTTTAGTAATCCGATTGGATTATTTAAATCATTTAAGATTTTTTTATTTATATGAATATATTTTTACACGTAAATGATAAAAAAAAGTGTATGAAGAGTTAAAAGAGGGAGAAGTGGGGGTTGAACGAGGGAGAGAGAGAAGAATGAGAGAGTTGTTTTATCGGATTTATCCACGTCATGCTTTGCGAGTAGCCGAAATGGTGCAAGCTCGTAAAACGATCAGGTTTCACGGTTATCGGTATAGAACACGGGTTGTAGAGTATCCCTTCTCTTTTTAACACCCCACCTATTCTCGTTAAATGGATTTTCTCTCCAACTAGACGGCTGCTCTCTCGATATAAGAGAACTTGACAAATTGAAGCAATTGCTTCCACTTGCGCACTATTACAACGCATTCAACTATAACAGAATTGAATATTATAATGATTAATGAAATAAAATGTACAACTATAACTTTAGTTTAAAATCATTTTTTTTTTTTTTCTACTTTTCATTCTGTCTATCAATCTATGAAGGTTCAAAGTAACTTACAAATTTTTATTATATTTCAATACAATGAATCTTTATATTGTTGACAGTTTCATTTTATCACGATCAAAACGATTGATATAACTGGATGAATAATTTTTAAATTTTTTCTAAAAAGTTTATGATATTCTATTTGAAAAATTCCAGTTGTCAAGGGGGATAATCAAGGGGTGAGTCCAATTTTTTTCTAATGTTTTTTTTTTTTTATTCTTCTGATATAGATATAAGTATTCAGAGGGATGCTTGTACACGTATAGCATTTCTCTTGAATTCCACAAATGTTAAGACTGCATACAATTGACGCAAGTAAATTAATTAGATCAGATCGTATGGGTGAATAGAAAAAAAAATAATGAAAAATATTTTTTCAAATTAAAAAAAAATACGTCTATAAATAATAGAATTTGTTGTGCCAATATACTCAATTATTTTTATTACATCATAACATGCGTTTAAAAAAAACGAATGAAATAATAAAAATAATTCCTTTCAATAGAATCTATACTATTAAAGTTAATTTGAAAATTCAGTATCAAATGTAGGATAGATGAAATTTTTTTGTGATTAATTGAATATCTATTGATAAATTTATAGAAATCCTCTTTGAATGTGTTGGAATATTAGTTTATATAATAAAATAAATCTTTCAAAATATCTAACAACCGAATGAATTTGTTTCAGTGAAAGCTCTTTGACGTTAAAGTCTGATAAAACCACTGTTTTAGTAATGTAAGAATTTAGTAAATAGATAATAGAATTAATATAGATAAATAGTAACCACAAATTTGATCAATGATTAACATTAATCAGAATTCGAAAGTGAATGTATCAAATATTCCGATATTCCCATACGAATCTTATATACAATGTAAGTAGATATATCACTCCATTTGCTTATCATTTTTTTCCCAAGTAATTTTACAAGAAAATTCATAATTATTATTCCTAGGAATTTTTTTATCCTATTTCCAATATATAATTAATAGTGATACATGTATACATACATGAATGATAATAACTATTTCCTAATTTATCATTACATTTTTTATTTTTACATCTAAATCAAATTCATAATCTTGCATTATATACTATGATCAAATTCCGGATCGAAAGAATGAAAATCCGATAAAAAATAAGCTCAGAAGATCACAAGCAATTTCATAAAACCTTTTATCCATCTAAATCCTTAATATATTTAGTTATTCCCACGAGTGATCCTTTCAATTTTATAAACATCACAATTTGTAATTAAATTGTTGTACTCCACAATATCTCAGTATTGTTAATATCTATTTAATTATTAAATAGGAAATTCATAAAAGGAAATACATAGGAACTAATTTTTGTTTTCATTTAATAAAGAGTAATTAATTAAATTTTAATTATTTATTAAAAGTAAATAATAATCGATATTATTTAATAGGACTTTGTGAAACTAAAAACAGGAAACAATTCTAATAATGCAGAGTTATATAATAATAATAATAATAACAACGGTGTATATTAGTTAATTTTTGAGCAAATATGCATTTTACTTTTGTAATAAAAAGTTCAACATTTTTAAAAATTTTTTAATTAAAAAAATATATGTATATCTGCTTTATAAGATGATAAATAAACAAAAAATACAACTCAGAGTTAAATGTACATAACAATGTATGTAATCATATATACAGTGCGTTTAATCTATAAGAACACACAAAAGTTTCTGTAAATAGACGAAATAACGAATTTTTCAATTTCATGGAAAACTTAAATATATAGAATAACGAAGATACAAAAATAAATTTATTATTAGTAAAAATCATAGTTGATTACTTTTGTTTTAATTAAGTTTTGCAATTCTATCGTTTTTTTTTTTTTTTAGTGTACACTAAAAATTATCTCTACTTACAATTTACCTTACCAAGAGAAATATTTGTTCCTAGAAGCAGTGAATTATCATGCAAGATATAGATTATAATGGCACATAGTTAGGAACAAAATGAAAAATAAAATCGATAGTAAATAAGTGAATGACACAAATAAATATCTTACAAAAAACAAAAGTTATTATTTTTTTTTTTTTACCACAAATACACACTATAATTTTCTATCTATGAATTTTCCAAGTGTTGAAACATTCATCATCATCACATTCTTGTTGATTATTCAATAATGATATCGAAAAAAGCTCTGTTATTCACTACACAAAGTATGCCAATTAATTTCAAATTATTGAAACGTTTAATATTTCTTTCACAATCAATTGTTCACAACACTCGTGCTTGGAATATTCTCACATAACATTTTATGTCGATAGGCAAATATTTGTTTATATTACTTTGAAAAATTTAAATATTGTTTTTGAATTGGTAAAATTAATTTTCCAGATATAAAAATGCTTAAAGAAATAATATTATATACACTATGAAATGAAAATAACGTGAAACATTCGTTTTCAAAAAAAAAAATTCCCGATAACAGTAAAATCCAAAAATATACATGGTATTACTTTTAAGTTAAAATTATTCTGTAATTCAATATATAAGCTTGCAACGTCACTGACTTGATGTAATCAATAATATTGGAATTAAATAAAAAAAATTACTCGAAAAAAAAACCATTTCAAATTTATAAAAAAATCACGGTTTATTTTTAACAGAAATAATTATGTCAAGTTCATTCCCAATTACAGAATAACTTCAATCTTAAAATATTCTTCATGTATTGGATATTTGAGATTAATCAAAATTTTATTCAAAAGTATAGAAATGAAATAAATATTTGCTTACAAAACCTACTGAACGATTTTTTTATTTTTACGATTTTTAAGGAATAATCCATGCAATATTTCTATTCAAAAAAGCAAAAGTTATTGCTGAACGTTTAAGCAACAACACACATATTGAATCGATTTGTTAGATAAAAAATCTAGAAAAAACCTTCTTTTAAGTATTTATATAATATATAAACGAAATAAAAATAATTAAACGAAATGGCAATAATAATTATAATAAATGGTTTTTTTTTTTATATTTTTTATTATCAATATACCATAAGACCGCTAGTCTGATGATTCATTCGTATTCGAAATATGTAATTAATGTAAATATATACGTTATTGATGATACTTAACTAAATGAAGATATACTACGAAGGTATATATTTATGTACATCTATAACAGTTTAATGTCTTATGCTTAACTTTTAAATTAAAAGGAATGCACTCGATACACTGAAGTTACAAATAACTCGAGTAATGACGCGAACAACGATGAGCTTTGGCAAGGCTTGTTTTTTTTTATCATTTTTACTTTTATTTAAAAAAAAAAATTAAGGAGAAAATCCTTTCAAAGTTCGTACCATTACGCACACTATCGAAACACAAATATCTTCACTAATTGCACTAAGTTCGTATACAGTACAACTATAGACAAAAGATTTTCTATTTATAAATTTTTATGATGTTTGTATCTTTTTTTTTTGTTTCTTATTTTTTTATTATTTTCTTATTTTTTCATTCATTCCCTCATCATCATTTTTAATCAGTAAAACTAATTTCCGTCAATAAATGTAAGAAAATATTGCTTATTAACATTGGAAAAAAAAGAATTCTCTTTTTCACTTTCTTTAATATATACTACTCAATCATTACCACACTTTCGCAATTACGTAAATAACTTATTTTCATTCTTATTAATATGTTTATTCCACATCTTATTATTAATTCATAGATATAAAGATGACAACTTTTGAAATGATATCAATAATAAAATCAATATATACAGAATTAACTGAATACATTGAGGGAAAATTTAACTCAGTCATCGTTTGTTTGTTCGCTATAAAGTAGATCCATTCTCAAAATGAAAATTCTTTGAAAAACAATGTTTTAAAAAAATGAGAAAATATATCAAATTAACTGTATGATCGCTCAAAAATAAAAACTCAAACTTATGAAATAATAATAACAAGCATAATAATAATAACTATTATTAATGTTGTTATTACGACATAATTATAATTAGGATAATTAATCAAACAAATGAATGCTTATAATAATAAATATTATGTGAGTATAGATTTCAAATGAAAGATATAATAAAATAAACGACATGACAAATTTTCTCTATTCAAAATCATGAAAAAAGGAAGCACAAAGTTTATTACAAACCCCAAGATTAATAAAATATTTCTTTCGCAATTCATTGAAATTTTATAGAGAAAGTGAATAATTTAGTACCAAATCCAATTCACCAGATAAAAATAACAAAAGTGTTACCATTATAAAAAAGATAAACTTCGAAATCTATACACACCAACAAAACACTCGACTGTTTGTGCGGCAGCCTTTTAGCAATCAAGGAATTTATGCGTAAGATTAATTTAATATTCTTAAGTTACCTAATAAATGTTGTGTTTGTGTATCAAATCATTATCATAACAGTTATTTATTGGGCACACACCATTATTTTGAAGTTCAGCTATAAGCACGTTACATTACGTCAACTTTCGGCACTTTTATTTTAACCATTAGCCGTCTTCTTTTGGCGGTGTAAACCATCCTAGAAAATATAAAAATATTATAAATGACTTATCAATCAATCATCTAAATTAAATAATTTCAATTTATTATCATTACCATTTTTTTCATGTATTTGAACTAGAGATTTAAAAGATTGTTGTGCACGGGCAAGACTATATTGTCCTTGTCCACCACAAACTTTACCAGCTCCGCTAGCACCTTGAAATTGGATACGAGCCTTGCCCTTCACTAGCGTCGCTGATATCTGCATTATCACGGCCTCTACTGTATAAGCCGAACTCCAGCCTTGCTTTGTGAGTAATTCCATGCAAATTGCACCGCCTACTAGCACATAACCGCCAGAAATAATCGGATGAACGACACGTACAAATGGAGGCTCAAATGGGTATGCTTCCTAAAAATAATGATTATTTATTTAATAATTATATCGAAAAAAAATTCTATAAATTTATACTTACTTTAAACATCATGTTAAGGAGAATACTGTCTTTACCCTCTTTTTCTTTTAAAAGTACTAAATCTTTATGAAGCGGTGAATCTGGATCAACACACATTAATCTAATGTTCCATTCATATAAACTGTCATTTACCAATTCTATGCTGTACATTCCTAAGAATTAATAAATTAAAATTAATTAGAAATATCGATTTAGTTGTTAAAGCATCATTTGCTTGTTAATAAGCTAAATAAAATAAAAATATCAATCAAACCTTTTTTAAAGCTGTCACTTCTGTAAATATCACGCAATTCTTTCATTAATCTATCAGTAGCTTGCACACTACCGGAGACTGATCCTCTTAGATAATCTTGTCTTTGATTTTGTCGTAGCCTTTCTAATGTTGCTAAGTGTTCTAAATCCATGTCATCAGCCTTCAAAAAAAATATATGTATAATACATTTATTTTTATTCAATACTAATATTTAATATATAAAAATGTTAGAAGAAGTAAACAAAATATTTATATTTTATGAGATGTAATAAAAACACAAATATGTGTTTATGTATAGTTACCTTACTCTTAGTATTTGACTCTCCTTCGTCCATATCCAAATGAAGATCCTCTTCTGACTCACTTTCTTCATCTTCTTCTATATCTTCAGTATCTTCAGCTTCCATTCGCTGTGCCACAACTGCTGCAGCACCTCCCAAACGAAGAGGATCCAAAGCAGTTCTCAATCTTTCCACGTCTGGTGGTTCCGGTATAGAATGTAGACGACATAATTCTTTCAATAAAATTCCTACCTGATTTATTACATGATTGTCACGACCCGTTGTATTGCTTAAAATTTGTACAGCATTTGTGACACTGGTCTCCTCAGATTCCGCAAACCATACGGGTGGCGTTGAAGGATAAGTTTCCTATAATAATAATTATTTTTTTTCTTTTTTCTTGCCATATTTTTCTTTATATTGCAACTTTAAAAAATTAAATTAGCTTTATTAGTATATTTAAAACCTATCAATACCAAATTCAAAGTTCATTACAACAAAAACTAATCAAATATGTTTTCTTTTTTTATAATAATATGAATAATGAAGATATATGTATAGGAAAAATCTTATTTAGTTAAATATGTGAATTGAATGTGTAATGAAATATTCTATAAACATAGAATAGAAAATATTAAATAAATAAAGATGTATGAATAATGTGTTAAGGTATTGAAAAATTATGAGGAACCATATACCTTTGTCCATGTTCTTTTTCATAGTCATTCATTGTATTGGCTGAACACTATTGCCAAAACATTATTCTACATTATATTATACAATGACCTGTACAGTACATATGTAGCACTGATGATTACCATCAGATTATAATGAATTTAGAATAAAATTGAAATAAAATTTTATTGCAGATAAATGATATATGTAAATGAAATGGTGAAACATTGCTTGAGATTTCCATTAGATATTTCAAGTACTTAAGTAATAACACAAATGTTATTGTTTCTTTGTCTGCGATGTAGTGGGGTGATTTATGTGTCAATAAATTAACGATAAAGCAACAAAAATACTATGAACACATAAGTAGATAATAAAAAAATATATGAAATGAATGAAAATAAAAAACTTACTGTGATGTTGGCGTGAATTTCATACTTCTTTCCATTTTTACCGACAAACCTGCAACTGAGTTCGTCCACACTCGCGGACATTATCTGAAACCTCTCATGACTTTTGGGGAAGACGGACTCGAGAGTTTTTATCTCCTGCTTGAGCGTATTCAAGCAAGCCATTTGAGGTTTCACCGCACGAAATGGGCCCGAATTTTCGACGGTTTTTTATCCAAAAACTACGACAACCAATTAACCACAGCGTACTGATGACTCCCTAACAAAATGGCGACGACGACTAAAATCGTCGTCCCATTTCGAATGCATTCGTATAATTTCGTATTTGCGATAGCAACGTCACCAGCAAGTCGAATATTAAACGCGGGTATTTTCAAAAAATTTTTGTTGAAAAAAAATTAAATTAACGAATTAATTTTCAAATAGTTTGACAATTATTCTTTTTAAAAATGTTTAATATTAATAGAGTATATAAATTTGTATTAAAAAGTAAGGGAATTGTATTAAAAGGATATATTTTATGTTAATGAAAAATAATAAGTCATGAAATAAATGTATTTATATCACGAATTTATTTAATATATCTATTATTTCTAAGTAATTTGTTGTAGGCTTTATTTACAGATGATAATATGATAAATAATAGTACACGTATTATTATAACAAGTGTATTATTAACAAATAAATGCTATTTATTGTTTAATGTGCTTAAAATTTATTTTTCTAAATTTCGGACTGAAGTCTCATAAAAGCCCATTTACGAGATTCTTGATTTATATAACACTTTTTCGCATGTTATACAAGATTTTTCTTTAAATTTCTTTAATGTTTTATTATTTATTTACTTTATCTTTATTATTAAAATTATTCTCTCATTCTCTTCGATTTTTTAAAATTTTTGTTTAAATTAATTAAAGAATTTTTAATTGAATAACTGTTCCAAAAATGAATGAATTAAATTAAAATTTGAGTTAGTTCAGTTAATACAGTACTGTTTTCTAAAATTTATAAAAATAATGCAAGAAATCACTACGAGCGTAAAGCATGTAATCAAAAGAACGATTATTATGCAAATATACTTAATATATTTAACACTTTTACGCCGGATTATATTACAAAAGTATTAAATTTTTTTTCGATTTTCTGTTTTCTTATAAAGTGAACAATCAAAATCACACAATTCATTTAAGTTTTTCATTTTTATTTGACATTCAAAGAATTTGAATGTATTATTCACACAAATATTTCTAACAGTATACTTATATGATGATGAAATAAAAATAAAAAAATAAAACCTAATAAAACTACAGATCCTAGTCTGTCGTAGTCTTTTCAATGGCAATAGAGTTCTCTAAATGACAGAATTACTGAATATAATTTTTATAAATATTAAAATATACCATTTTTACTGTAACAGATAATCTAAGCAATTTTTCATATTTAAACATTTATATTTATAAAAAATTCACGTAACAGGAGACGTGGATTAATTATATTCAATCTCTCTCTCTCACTCACTCTCTCAGTATATACACATGTTTTCAGTATGAAAACTTAGAGTTTCTTTTTTATTTTTACAGTGTCTTTTCAAAGACTGTCAATTATATTCAAGATAATTTACACGTCTACATTTTTTATACTTTATGTATAATTTCCATGTAAATATCATTTTAGTACCTAATTTAATTACAAAAGAAAAATATTACATAATAACCACCAACATTAGAGTTATAATTAAGGTCATTATTTTATGCTGCATATAATTTTATTTTGCCCTTTTTATTTTAAAATAATATTTCAATATCCAAACATATAATCATTAAATTTTTTGCTGAAAATAGAGAAATTTTGTAATTTTTTTTTATCACTCATTACACATAAAAGTGAATCAAAGTATTGTAATACTGGCTTGAGCATAATTTTACAATAAAAAAAATTATTTAAAGCTTTTATAATGTTTAAAATGAATAATTAACTGATGTTTGTGAATTGAAATTAAGATAAAATTGATATTTTGTCATACAAATAATCATATACGCAGAACAGCCATCCGTTTTACATTGATGTATGTTTACTTGAAAAATATACAGATTTGAACATTTTTCTTTCTTTTTTTTTACATTCAATTTTTTTTTTTAAAGATTAGTCATAAAAGGCAGAATATACACCCCCTATGACACAATAAAAATACACTGAAATGTGGCACATTCGTTTCATTTTCTTTTATTAGATCTAAGTGATCTCAAAATTCAAAAGACAATGTGTCTTATATAACCATGAGATCTTATATAATTTAAATAACAACTTTTTTTATTTCCAGTTGATAATTATATTTATATTTACTGCTTACTATATAATAATATATAAATTTTATATAGCCATATATTAATGATTTTGTAAATGGAATGGATTATATACACATTTTGATTTTTAAATTGAGAAAAAAAATTGAAAAATTTTTTTATCGTCATTAAAAGATAAAATGCAAATGTAATTTGAAAAAAAAACAATTGATATTTTTTTGAGAATATTTAAATGGAATGATTATATAATTTTGTATTTTCATCAAATAGAATAATCTTTGAGAAAAATGACAAATAATAATGCGCCACGTTATTGATTTTTTATTGTTGTTTATTTTTTTGTTTTTTGCATTAACATTTATTATAATTAGGAACTTGATGAATTATTTATTTCTTGCATTTAAGTGAAAAACCACTTGGTCAGATATGCAATCAATGATGTCTTTATTTTCAACATCTAAATATTCTACTAAATGAATTGATGCAAATCTTTGGACTTTCACTCCTGACTGGAAAATTTTACACTTTAATTATTAATATTTACATCATTCTAACCATAAATTCATAATATTTACAACTCATCGTTTAATAAACGAATTTCTTAATAGAAAAAAATCATACAATAGTATGTGAAAAGCAACAATTAAATTAAATACGATGAAAAATAAAAGTATATCATTTATTTATTTCGTTCATTCTATATAAACATAAGATTCTCTCAAAATATTAAAATAGTACTGAACATACCTCATCAATGGCTCATAATACTAATATAGCAACAAATATAAATAAATGAAATTGATTTAAATGTTGGCGGCATTTTCTATGTCACAATATTTGTTGTCTCATTGAGGTAAGCCTTACGTGCAGGCACGAACTGTCCTGATGTCTTGATTACACCACTTTTATGTAGTTCAATTTTGTTGTTTTTCTCTTTTTATTTTTTAATTATTATTAGTATTATTATTATTAATTTCCTTGTCATTATCATTACCATTATTATTATTATTATTATCAATATCATTATTATTACTATTAATATTATTATTTCATCAAGCCATTTCTCATTTTAAAGAAAAATAAATAAATAATTTTTTCAGGAAAAACACAGCACGTGCCACTTTACCACACGCGACACTTAACAATCGACACTTTTTTAAAATGCCGAATGATAGTAATCGTAGGTGGGCCAGTAAGGCTGGAGCCAATCCTAGCTTGTACGTTGACGTTTTTTCGCCATATGATCTTCAGTCGAATGAGCTGGAGAAGGTATTGCCATATTTCGAAACATATATTTCATTTGTGGCATATATTTCATAATACTTCTCACTTGAATTAACGGTAATTCTTCCGTCATGGACGAGCATTTACCAGCTTCCATTAATTTTTTCATTTGTAATCTGACAATAAATGAATAAATTAATGTACATTGTTAAAAGCTAAGTAGAAATAACGACCATAAGTTAAAAGAAAAATTAATATTTTTCTTCAAAATAATCATTTATTTACCTATTTCCTTGATATAAATCAACTCCAAGCACTTCAGTTAACACATGCCTACAATTATTAATATCACAAGCAGGAAAAAACTGTGATACAAAATCGGGTAACGTCATTAAAAGTTCTGAATAAACGTAAGGTTTAAAATTAATGCAAGGTACTAATTTTTCTTCCACTAAAGCTTTTTGAATGCCATACGGTGGAACATGACATGTAGAGGCCATAGTTTCCGCAATGGGAATTAATGCTTTTCTGGCACGAGGATCTCTGTAATGAAAATTTTATTAAATTATTACTCATAATTTAAAAGAAAAAACATAATTATTAAATTTATAGAAAATATTTCAACAACTTGTAGTTTGTTTTTAAGCGCAAAATTTTTTACTATCATTTAACGTAATGAAACTAATAAATTGAGTTTTATACCTTGTATTGTTCGAGCTACCATTAACAGGTATAAGAGGCGGTGGATATGCATGTTTTGGATGCGATGAATTATTATGTGAATTATGAGCAGGTGGAGTATGCCTCTGTGGATGAGACATCAAGGCCGAAGCGGATGTTTGGGGATGTAGCAGAGCCTGGACTTGCTCTGTGCTTAAATTGAGCATTTGTGGATAGGTATTAGCACTCACAGCATTTGGTACAGTTAAACTTGGTGTTGAATACGTCGATGCAACCCTAAAATACATTTAAAAAATTCTTTTAATTCAAATAAGAAGTTTTTTTTTAATATATATTATATATTAAATGAAGATAAAACATACTATTTAAAGCGTCACATTTAACGAAGATTCTTCATAAATGATTTGATAAAAATTTTTTAATATAAAAAAGATCTGCACCTTCTCATGCCAATTTTTCTTACACGCTTGTTACAAATTTTGCATACATATTTTATACAAAAATATCAAAAAATATAATCATACTGAAGATTTAAATAAAAAAGATATAATTAAAATTAATTGATTGAAAATGTAGTAAAAAATTAATTAGGAAAAGGCTCTGATAAAAAGCACCTCATAATTTACATTCAATTTCTTTATTTTAATCAAAATTTAATTTTACTTTTGTTTTATATGAAAAAAAAAAATACATTTCCTTTTATAACCATTTTAATTCATTTATTGCATATACTGTATGTATTTCATTATTAATAGGTATAAATAATTGAACATATCTACATCATAAAACTTTCTACACTTATTTATTTAATTCCAAAAAAAAAAAAACAATTTGTCTATTCGAAATTCAATGGTAACTGATATAAATTATATTAAAGTATTTTTTTTTGTAACTTCTTTTCAATTCTCACTCGTTGATTTAGATTTATATTTAGTATCATAATTGTATTATAGAATGTATTAGAGGATTAAATTATTAGAGGAAAATATAACCATGCTTTAACTTTTAACGACTGTATTTAGAGTTTATAATACATTATGCAGGAACTCACCAGTCATCCTTCCCATAGGTTGGATAACTATACGAAAAAAATCAAAACTTTGTTTGTACAAGGACAATTAGGATAATAAAAACTACATGATAGCTATTTTAATTGCAATAAAATTGAAAAAAGAGAAAATATTTAGGAAAGGAGTGCATATATATATAAAATATGGCTTACTCAAATTAGAATAAACAAAAATGACAAATTCTACGTTTTTATTGGGTCTCATGCTCAATTAATTATTTATGACACAGAGATAATTTTCCAAACTGATAATAATTTATTCATTATTATATGTAAACCATAATTTAAATTTCGAACTCCGTTCCAGTGTTAATTGTTAAACATTTCAGCATCTTTTAAATATAAAATTCCAAATCTCATAAATGAAAAAAGAAGTAAATTTATAGATAAAGTATCAAATTGCATATCCCTATGAAAAAAAACAAATAAAGAAATAATAATAATAATACAATCACAAGTATTTTACCCCAGATTTGGTTGATTAGAATGTGCCGTAGCTCGTACCAAAGGCGGTGGTTGTGCCTGTGGTATTGTTTGCATCGTCGTAACAGGATAAACTGGATATTGTCCTGGAGCTGTAGTACCAGTAGTTGTTCGTGTTCTTGATTGCTGTTGATACGTTTTGGGTGTATTAATAGCCTGTTAAAAAAAACATCCATTTAATTTATCAATTTTTCACACAAATTTCATTCTTCTTCTATTTATTTTTAGTTTAAACTTATCAAATATTCAAAAATATCTTAAAAGAGAGTTTATAATGAAACTAACATGTAGTAAACTTACATTATGGATACTAAGAGATGAATTTTGCATTCGAATGACGGGACTTGATTGAGGAACGCTAGTGGCCTGGAAGGTCGTCTGTCCACCAACTAATCCAGACCATCCATTTAGAGTAGTTGGCATAGGACTTAACATCGGTTGAGCATTTGTCGATGTTCGCCCTGATGAAACAGCATTGGGTGATGCATGTGTTGGATGTGTTGTTACTACAGATCTAGACTGATTAACTGGCTGCAATGTTGTACTTGCAGTATTATTTCTTGTGGACATGTTTTGTATGGCCGGTCGTGAGTTTAATTGAGTTTTGACCGAATTATTTTGCACCGGCACTGATTTAGACACTGATGGAGGTGCTGGTGGTTGTTTAGTCCACCCACCAGCACTTGCACCACTTTTTCCACTTACAAATAACTGAGAATCCATCACTTTACTAGGCCAATAATCTTCAAAACCAGTTCCCGGAGGGAAATAACTTTTAATGTCACTCAGACTTATCACCGAACATGTTTCACTTGCAAACAATTCATTACGTATACCCTGTACTTTGCAACAAAACTTTAAATATGATAAGTCCCAACCCTCAAGTTTTTCAGCTTTAAGCTTTAAATTGTCCGTTTCACCCTCAAAATAAAAGAGGGGAACGTACTTGAGATTGTCTTTAACTGTATATGGAACGACGGATTCTTTATTTATACGAATAAATCCACATTTATCACTTTTTTGTCCTGCACCAACATTTTGACTCGTAAGTTTAGTATAACACACATCAAGAAATGTGTAAAATTCCTTGGCATCAGATAATCTTACAACTAAATCTTTATTCCATGTGAATTGTTCTTTGCCAAATTGACCTTCACAATGTTTTGTGTTAATTTCATTGAGTAGTTTACTCTCAGCTTCAGTTATGAAGTAACTTTTAATGCACGTGCAACTGTAGATGTCTGAATGAAGATAATTCAGGTACTTATTTAGTAGCTTCGCCTCCAATATCCTTACAGCACAATATTTTTCACCACCACGGAAAATATATGGTATGTGAGTTTTATCAAATGTTACCCATCCAAATCTTCCTCGTTGACTTTCATCATCAAGTGGTACTTTACCATCAACACTTAAAGGTGATTTTGTTACTGGAGGTGTTCCTTCGTTTGGTTTTTTTGTTAAATACCCGAGAATACCCGGAAGATGAGACTGTACTCCTGCTGGTCTTGGTGGTACCACTGGTATCGCAGCCTGCATTTTCGCCTTGTTTGCTTCCACCATTTTGGCAGCCAATTCCCGGATTTCCGCTTCATCTGGTCGTTCTTGTTTAACAGGTACCTTATCAAATGTCCCTGTAATCATGAAATATAAATATTACATATTTGTCATCAGTGCTTCACTATTATTATCATTATTTTGCTAAATTATACTTTTAATTTAGAATCAAATGAGTATTTCACTATTTTTAGAAAGTAGGTAGACCAGAATATGAATTTATCATGATATTAATTTTCCATTTAACTCTGACCTAGTAGAAAAATTTCTCAGATCATAAGTTACATGTTATGAATTGAAATAATTTTCTATTAAACAACTGAGTTTAAATTTATTTTAATTTTAGTGTAAATATTAATAGAAATATTTTTATCTTATTTATAATTACATCTCAGTATATCTAAATTAACAGCTAATCAATTTTAAATGTATTAAAGATCTGAATGATCTTTTCATAATCAAAGACATGTAATTATAACAATTAAATAAAAATATAAAACTTTCCTAAAGAAAATTTCATATCAATCACTAGAATAAAACCTAACAAATGATACATTTTATAACACCTAGTATAGATTGTCTTGTTTAAAAGTAGTAATGATACACTGACAATTAATTAGAAATCAATAATATGAATATTTATTTAGTTGTTCTAGTTGTTATCTATAGAGTAATCTAGAAATTTAATTATTTTCATTATTTAATTAACTTAAGTTAAAATGAATAAAGAGCCGTAAAATATGATAGAGTTAATGAAACTTTCTAAATAATCATAATGAATAATACATTTTAAATTATTTAAAAATACTTTTTAATAAATGACTGTGACGACAACCAATCACTCAAGAGGCCAAGCACCCTAGCATACATGGAAGGTTTCTGATCATTCTTGAAGAAAATCATATAATTTCAAATATTATATACACACAAATTATTATCAATTATCCTCTTAATTTATATCATTTACTTCACTATTAAAAAAAAATCTAAAGATATTTTCTGAATTACTTTATAAATAACAATCATACATGATAAGTTTGATTTAAATATAAATGACAATTAAGTTACATAAATAACTATTATTTGTATAATTAATAAGTATCATTAATGAAATTTGAATAATTTATTTTCAAATAATGTTAGTTTTACTTGCAAATATTATTTTTTATTTTCAAATAAATAGAAAATATCATCATTTTGAGTCTTTCATAACAAAATTATATTTAAATAGGTTGGCAAGTACAGTTATTACATTGAATGCTATAATACTTTCAAACATATATATTAATAATTAACGAATGAGATAAGTAAATAAATACACTGCAGCTATGTAATTATGTTTTGTCCTTTTCAATACGACCACCTGGTATGAAACGTTCAGACGAATCAATAATCTATCGACAGACCAAAGCAATATTGGAAAAAGACATGGCGTCAAATGTTGGAAAAAAAATTTTAACACCGTGAATCAACTAAGAAAATAACAGATGATTAAATAATAATCACACTCTAAACAATAATCTCTAAGTAAGAGAGAGAGAGCACATTCCTGGCTTATGTTTACTTTCTAAAAATTTTTCAGAAAATCATTGTTATAATTGACGATTTTTTTTTGAGTTTTTTTGACTTAATATTATTACGTACACATTATCACATGATAATGCACTGGCGTTTACGCACCCATCCACTCGTTCATAGACATCATACGACACTAAATACTTCACTTGAAAACACACGTTAAAACTTTAATAATTTACAATATAATTTACGAGTACCAATAAAGACAAATTTTTCGACAATATCCTATTTATATAAGTGTTATTTGTCACAATTAAAAAATTTCACAAGTATACAAAAAACGACAAACGATTTTATTAAGACAGTGCACGATTCCGAACAACGGATCGGCCTGTCTAGAAAACCCGAGGACTTGATCCCGGTCGGTTCACATTTTCGACTTAAAGACCTGCATACAAAAGACTGCAAGAAACTACAGTGTCGCCGAATGAACAGAGTCGACGACTCATTGGACTCATCGCCAACTCTACCTTAGCCACTCTTCCACGGCCTTGTCACGATACCGACTGATTGTCTGCTTGCTTGCTGTTTAGTCCAGTCAATATAGGAGGCTTGGCTCCATTTGTCTTGAAAATTTTTGTACAAAGGGCAATTTTTAATTTTCTAATGTCAAAATATCCGTAATGACCTGTAGAAAAAATGTGCCCAAAAACGAAAGTGCGCTGATTTTTTTTTATATGATTTTTTCGCATTTTAGTGGTCCCGTGTATCTAAGCGAGACAGCACTATAGGCGGCACCACGCGCTAGAGAAGGACATAACTATCGGAATGAAAAAATCGTATTTTCGATAAAAAAAATGGAGTTTTCTTGTTCAATATTATTTTATTAATTATTTGATGAACAAAAAAACCTACAAAATCATCAATTTCTTAAAGTTGGTAATTTTTTCATTTATTTATAAAAATTTGTTTTTTTATTTATGTATAAAAAATTTCTTCATTATAGTAAATAATATATTTATTTATTATATTAATTTGATATTTTTTTTTTATTTTTTGGGTCGAATATTTGCCTAAAATAAGTAAATAAATAATGAATGAATATAATAAATAAATATATTATTTACTATAATGAAGAAATTTTTTATACATAAATAAAAAAACAAATTTTTATAAATAAATGAAAAAATTACCAACTTTAAGAAATTGATGATTTTGTAGGTTTTTTTGTTCATCAAATAATTAATAAAATAATATTGAACAAGAAAACTCCATTTTTTTTATCGAAAATACGATTTTTTCATTCCGATAGTTATGTCCTTCTCTAGCGCGTGGTGCCGCCTATAGTGCTGTCTCGCTTAGATACACGGGACCACTAAAATGCGAAAAAATCATATAAAAAAAAATCAGCGCACTTTCGTTTTTGGGCACATTTTTTCTACAGGTCATTACGGATATTTTGACATTAGAAAATTAAAAATTGCCCTTTGTACAAAAATTTTCAAGACAAATGGAGCCAAGCCTCCTATATTGACTGGACTAGTTGTAGCTACTGCTGTCTAGAGATCTCCAATCGTCATTTCCTAATAGACCTATTCCATAATCACCAGAAACATTAAAAAAAAAAAAATTCCCATCCTATGTAAATACTCTTTTTTATTTCAATTTATAAGAACATGTGTTCGTAACTATTGTTGTTGGAATAATAAAAATGAATTTTAGAATTTAGATTCATATGTTTTTTTTGGAGATAAGTACTTAGGCTTTAAGTAGTGTTTAAGCCCAAACAAATGAGTTATGATATTTGTTGGAATTCCCCAGGGAAAAATCATTTTTTCTTACGAAGTATAAAATTTAAGCTTCAGACATGTGGTTGGCAGACTAAGAATTGTCTTTTGTTTATTTTTAAGGATATTAAGTAGCGTCCCCAATAGAAACATAAAACGTTAAACATAGGAATAAAACGTAGGAATAAGAAATAAAACGTAACGGTTGAAACATAAGGAACACGACGGTTTAAGCATAAGAAATATTTTCACGTTTGATGTGGTACATGTACTGAGACGATCAAATTGTCGTGTTTATTATAACAAAAATGGTGACTGAGAATAGTGAAATATCAGTTACTAAAGAGGATGATGAACTCTTAATTAGTTTAATACATGGAAACACTTTTCTAACCTTGCTACATGATATGTTTAATGTATGTTTGTGCACGAATCTTATGTTTTATTCTTATTCCTTATTCCTGCGTTTTATTCCTTATTCCTACGTTTAACGTCTTATTTTTCTATTGGGAACGCTCCCTTAAGGCTGGGCTTTACTAACCTCAAATCACCTCAAATTTTTCTCGTCGAATTGGGAATTCTTTATTTGTTTTTTTTTACATAAAAAATATCTAGGGATATTTAGAAAAGTGGTATACACATCGGAAAACAAATATTTATGGTACAAGTGCAATAATAAACGTAAAATAAATAATTTTTCAGTGAAGGGCTCACGATAAGTGCATCCGCCATGACACCTCGAAATTTACTCAAAAAATTATTTATTCTACGACTATTATTGCACTTGTACTATAAATCTTTGTTTTCCGATGTGTATACCACTTTTCTAGATATCCCTAGATATTTTTCACATGAAAAAAAACAAATAAAAAATTCCCAGTTTGACGAAAAAAATTTGAAGTGATTCGAGGTTAGTAAAGCTCAGCCTTATGGAGATCAGGTGATATATTATTAAAACTGTATTACCACTTAGTAGGTAAATGCAGATTTAGCAAGATATCACGTGATCTTCATAAGAGCCTGTGTAAAAAAATTAATTTCAAATTAATAGTTCTCGAAAACTAGCGACACAATTGTGCTGAAATTTTCACAAAATTTTTTATTATAAAAAATGAATCGAATATCAAAATTTCAAAAAATTCTACCGTGAAAAAATTAACGCTCGTACATCCTTAAGGCTGGGCTTTACTAACCTCAAATCACTTCAAATTTTTGTTGTAAAAAATCTTAAATAAATGAAAATCGGGATTTTCCGATAATAAAGTTAAAGTAAAATTTTTTTGCAAAAAATACCCCATTTTCAATGGGTTTTAAAATTATCATTAATCTTTATTTATCGGTCATAACCTTTCTATCTACTGTATATTTCAGAGAAGTATGATATTGGTTATAAAGTAATTTCATTTTTGTAAATTCTCAAATAATTAAACCTGCCTATTTTTTCCAATTTAATTACGTATTTATGCGTAAATATAACTATTATTGAACATAATTATCCAGTCTTCAAAGATGATATCATCACTTGAAATATCCGACTCACACTTTTCTATCTAATAAAAAATTAAAGATTTAATTTTAAAAAAAGTCATTAGGAAACATTATGTAAGTACAGTAAAGTAATCAAAATATAAATTGATTTTAAATAAACAGTGCTGTTGCTTTTAGTTTCAAGTACAAAAAACTAATTACAATTTTTCCTATTTAAAAAAAAAATGACGATGTAATGCTGCAAAAATAAAGGTTTAGTAATTGAATAAATAAAAAAAAAAAGGTACTAGTATCCTAGTAATCAAAATGTTAATAATATTAATTTTTTTTATCTAATTTTATGTCTAAATGAATTGAATTTAAATAGTTAAATTGCAAAAATTACTTGAAATATGTGACACCAGACTAATAAAGTAATTATTTAAATTAATAAACATTTTATTATTTTTTGCAAAAAAATTAAAATTTCAACGGCAAAAAAATCTTGTTATCAATATAATAGAGTGAATAAAATATTCAACTATTCGTGACCTTTCTCAAAAATAAAGCAAAATATAAAAGGGTGGCTGTGTGACATCGTGTAACATGGACTCGGCAACAGAGTATATACAGCTCAAAAAGTGTTAATATATACATACATGTATATATGTGTGTGTGTGTACATATACATATATAAACACTACCAGTCCAAGATCTCGTACAATGTGACAACAACGCTCGGTCGATATGCTCTTTCAGGCAAAATGCCAAGATTGGCAAACGCAAGAAGAGTACATAGAATGGTTTCAGGTGATTCCCCCGCCAAGGTCTGGATCGACTGGATTTATAGAGGAAGGGGTAGATAAATAAGTAGTGGGGAAAGTAAAGATGCGCAGAAACCCAGCCAATGACCTATTTTACGTACTCCGGCGCAGCCCATTATATATCTAGGGCCTATGTACTACTTATGTACTCTATTATACTTATTATTTTAATCATGATTTACGACAGCGACGTTGCCGGATTTAATGCATATCGGGGCACGCCTCCTATTCCTATATAATATCACGTACTAACACATACAATTGTAAATGCGGAAACACCTACACGAGAAAATACGAATAATAAATTGATCGATTGAAAATAGTTTTAAAAAGTACATCGATTATTTATGGATTTCTAAGTAGTATCGTTGATGATTCTACATATATATCTATGCATATTTTATTGAAGAATTTATAAAATTACATTTTCAAAGCTATTAATAATTATGAGCAATTTAAATTCATTTGTTTAGTTATTTTTTTGTCATCGAAACAAATGTATTATTAATCAATTGTTGACAAAAAATTAATTGTTCGGTTATAGCTTTTGTTTTTTTTTTACATTAAAAACAGTGTTGCCACTTTTCATCCATTTTGTATGACCTTGGATTTTCTAAATTTCTACCGAGACTTGGGCCAGTCATTTTGGCAACACTGTAAAAGATCTATTTATAGAAACAGTTTATCACTGCTGTTGCTATGCTGAATTAATGCGTAGTTTCATTCGAAACAGTGGGGGGATAAAGGAAGTATCGAGGGGTAGCCGGGAAAAGAAGGGAGATTCTTGATAACAAAATGGCCGATAACCGGATGTACGTTGTTTTACACAGCCATTGGGTTCACCCTGATGGCGTCGTACAAACAATCCATAGCGTTAATAAATTTTTTACAATTTTAAATGACTTATTAAACTATATAATAAAAAATAAATAAATATATAAATCAAACATACTTTCAACATTACGTAACTGCATGACTCATCGATGTTATAATCATAATACAAGAAATTGCTTTCTCCCGAATAAGCGCAGAAGTAAATAAGTTGAGGGCTGAAGGTCAATTTACTAGGAGTTTTTTTCTTATAATTCTCCAATAAAATAATTATTAGATCGACTCTGTATAAAATTAATTGTTGTTTTTAAATGCCAACTATATGCCTAATTTATAGTTAGTAAATAAATCAGTCTGCATATAAGATTTTCTCTGTAAAATTGCAAATGGCGTCGTTAGATCGCTATTGCTGACGTATCATATATTGCGCCGTGTTCCATACGGCATTTATGTTTACTAAAAAGACGAACTTCGGGGAAGCTCGGGTACCTTCGGGAATTGCGATACCATTATATTACTTATTATTAAGCTATATAATGTATATATATATACATAAATATCTTATGTATTATATACCGGCTTGGAAAGCACATAGTTATCCCAGCGGCACATTGAACGTTTGACGCGTCTACTGCGCACATACGATACACGTGTGCGCATCCATGCTATGCTCAGTTATGTATATATACTCAGCATAGAATAATATTACGAAAATCCTATGCTACACGATGTAACATTGTAATTGAATCCTAAAAAAAATTTATATGTAAATAACACAACCATGACACGATTGAAGACGCCAAATTAGCCGAAATTTTAACCACGTTTTTTCAATATATAATAAATTTATATTTAAATAAATCGAGTGTCATTTGATTCATTAATAACAATTATATTTATAACTGAGTAAAAAGCTGTTAAAATTATTTTTATAACAAAAAATCGCTAATAATATGCGGTTGTTATGTTGTTTCTAATAAATCAATAATAATAAACAATATGCCAATTTATTTGATTTATTTATAACACAATAATTGAATAGAATAAATTAAATGTACGAATATAATATCATAAAAATCTATACGATTATTTTTTTATTCTATCGAGGAGCAGATTTTGATTATGTATTTTTTGAATGGCAAAAAAAGTGTAAGCTGTCAACAAATATAATACAGATCACGTTAAGTAAATAATTTATATCCTATTTAGAATTTTTTGAATTGTAATGAGTAAAAAAGCAAAAATTTCGACCATTTTGCCGATAAAAACGAATGTCAATAATACTTAATGGTATTTAAATTTAAATTGTCGATAAACATTTATACAAAAAATAGTAATTTCTTGAATAAAATGTCAATCATACCACGCGGTCGGCTAATCATCTGTCTCTCGTGCGCGCGCTTTTCGAGTACGATAAAACAAGAGAGACAGAGATGGTGATAGAGTGAGAGAGAGAGAGAAAGATAGAGAAACGAGTTAGCCTTAACGAATGACAAAACGCTGAGGTATGTTTGGATGCCCTTTAATATACCCTCGATATATCTGTATTTATGCAATCGAATAGATATATCAGTTTCAGCAGATATCTCTTATCGAACTGCAACACAATAGCCATAACTAACAGAAGGGAATGTCAAGTAGGAGGGATAGCGCAAGTTACTCATTCCAGTTTGAGCATCAGAGGATACGAAGCACATGGCCGGATATACAGGTTAATTAATGTCAGTTGTATCAGTCTCTAATGTACAGTAAAAAACATTAAACTTACGTTTCTCTACGTGACACCTCACGATCTGTACGTCCTCGTCAAAACTCCGGTCGCCCATTTCGTTAGACTGTACATCCATACACATAATTCCCGAATACGGGACACTCACTTACATCTAGGACACTTTTGCATCTGACAGCCAACGACATTGGCGTAAAAAACGGTACAATTATCAACACCACATCGCTTACTAACTCGCTTTCTTTAGCATTCTTATGTTTCGTATTTTCATGTGCGTTCATTTGCCTGGCGGTGGCTTATAGGTACGCGGGTGGGAGGTACATAAGCAGTGTGCGCGTCCTTAGGTCTCGCATGCGCGCGAATTTTTTTATTTCATTTTATATCACATAAACATCAAAAGGATTAAGGTGACCAATTAATAAAATCATGATGCAACATGATTTACACTACTAATTCATAGACCGTTCGACACATGCACCTAATGCGAAGAACCACCGCGGACTTGGAATCCACCAGATTTGAATTGAAACGTTGCCACTTCTTTTCTCCCCCACTCTTTATACCCATCATAAAAGCGCGCTACTGCACTTATGTATTTACCGATTGCGATGTTGCCGCACATCCGGTATATAAACAGTACATAACCGCGTGGTGGGGGGAGAGAATTTTATAGCATCTAGTGGGGGGAGACGTTTGTTAACGTTTTTCGAGAAAGAGGGGGAGAGAGTTGGAGAAACAAAAGAGAGCGAAAAGTAGTGGGGGGAGATGCTTAAGAATGGAAATTTTCCATGACGACATCAGGGCAACCATACACCCGTTATATGCCCTCGTCTAACAGGAAGTATTAAGGTGTTGTTTAAAGCGCCCCCAAACAAACGCAACATGTACTAGTTCAATACTCTTAAAGACGCCATGATGTCTTAAGATTCGACAAGAACTTTGATAAAAATACTCAAACAAATTCATTATATATGAGTGTATACTTATTTTACTGCAATTTTTTACCTGAATTCTAAAAAAAAAGAAAAATTTAATTTGGTAATAAGTTGACTAATTATAATTATGATATTCGTTACCTTTACGTTAACTTTAAAAAAGAAATTCAATCATTGATACAGCGGTTCTATGTTTAGATAATTTAATCAAATAATATAAATATTTTTTGGAGAAACCATTATGGAAATCTATTTCTATTGTAAAATACATTGTTCGTGACTTTCATAAGATTTATTTATACAATCTCCCATTGTTTTAGTCGCAAGAAGTCCTTTTGTACATTCAGCTTGTTTCATCCACAATTGAATCTGAAGACACGAAAAGAAGTATGTGATCAGTAGTGACCTTATTTAATTAAAAAATACTATTACATGTCATTTTCTAAGACCAAAGTTACCTGTTGATGGAGAAGATCTCTTCTTCTTCCGGGAGGCTCTTTACCAAGCACGCGCACAAGAATTCCAAGACTAGATTTGAACTTTTCAAGTGCAAGAACATAGTTTCCTTCAGCAAAATATTGCTCCGCAACTTCACCCATTTCTAGGGCCGCTTTCATATCCGACGTGCTTTTACTGAGGGCTCCTATCAATGATAATTAATTACTCCATCCGTTATTAAACATTATTATATACTAGCGATGTAATTTTATGCACAAATTTTACATCACATGATAAATTATTTGTACACATAAATCTACTTTAACAGTGATAATCGATACTTACGGAGTTCATTGAATGGAAATGAGTGTGAAAAAATTTTTGTTGCTATATTCAATTGAAGCATATTTTTTTCTATCGACTGAGAAGATTTTTGGCTATCATCATTTTTACTGTCAATACAAGACTGTTTTAATTGTTCTGCACGATTTATGTATTCATTAATACGTATTCGTAAATACTTTTTTTTTTGTAAATCCGTTTCATCTAAGAATTATGACAATTTGAAATGTAAATACATATATTCTGTTAATTTTTTCACAATAATAATTGCAATGATAAATATTATTAAAAATTTCGTAATTCTTACTTATTAATAGTGGAATAAAATATTTAAGAGCATCACAATAAAAATGAAACGCTTCTCTACTATTTTTTTCTGCATCCGCTTTCACAGCACGTTGAATCAAATTAACAGCTTTCTCGTAATTTTCTGCTGTCGGTGCGTGCTCAAGATCTAAAAAGTCATGAGCAAAAAAGCCCTCAAAGCTTATGCGTTGAGAAGGATCGTGTTTTAAAAGTGATAAAAGTAAATCTTTACATTCGGTTGATATATGAGCATCTTTAGGGATCTATTTATAATTGAATATTTCAAAAATGAATTAAATAATACAAATTTATGATAATTATTTATGAATGAATGTAGAAAAAGTATCGATGTACCTCAATTGGTTGACAAGTTTTTATTTTTTCAACTAACTCGTCAATACTATTGCTAGAATAAGGTGTTCTACCAAACAGACATTCATACATTATTACGCCAACACTCCATAGATCAACACTGGCATCATATTCATTACTATGTAATATTTCTGGTGCCATGTACAATGGTGATCCTCGAATTGTAAATTTACGTTCACTATTACTTAGATATTGAGCAAAACCAAAATCTATTTATACAAAATATTGAATTTTTAAAAATTTTTATCACTATAAATAATTAAATATTTTATTGATTTAATGTTGAATTAAAAAAAAGATGTTAATGTTTTGATTTAACAAACCTCCTACTTTTAGTTTTAATGTAGGCTTTCTGACTAAAAGAAGATTTTGTGGTTTAAGATCCATGTGACAGACATTATGACATCGTAAATATCTTAAAGCGAGTGCCAATTGCTGTAAAAACTTACGACATGTACACTCAGGTAGCTTTTTCTTTTTTTTTATAAAAACGGATAAATCACCACCATCACAATATTCCATTACAATAAAAATACGCCTGTACGTGCAAATAAATGAATGGATAAATTTTAATAAAATATGTATAAATGGTTGGAAATGTTTGATTAATATTAATCAGTGAGAAGTAAAAAGGAGTCGAATTATTAAGTACTTGATGAGAACTTTCTACCAAAAAACTACCAAGAGTTCATTAAACCGGTAATTTAAACTTTACTATGTAAGATAATTGTCAATAATAAACGTAAAATAATTATACCAACCCATTTTCCCAAAAAAAATCCTTCATTTCTACAATATGTTCATGTTTTAAAATTTTCAAAAGATTTATTTCAGTGAGAAGATTATCGATTGCTGACTTTGAAAGAGTAGAACTTTCAACACATTTTATTGCAACCATTTCATGATTACCACCCTATAAATTAATAATAAATGAAGCATAAATTTTAATCATCAATGTCAATGTAAAAAGTTTGTAGCAGATATTTTAGGAAAGTTTAACAGATGAACATCTTTCGACATGATACTAGTATTGTTTGTTACACGTAAATTTTCAAAGTAAATAATTAAATTGAACACATACCTTTTTCAATGCTTTATAAACTGTTGCATAACTTCCTGAACCAATTTTTTCAAGAGATACATAATCATTTAAGGTAGGTAATGTCATTTTGATAAATGCATGATAATTATATATACTTTAGTTGAAATTAAATAAAATGAAATTCTGAAAATGAATTTTCGATACAACTGTATTAGTAAATCTCTATTATAAACTACTTAAAAATCTTTATTGATGGCTCATCTTTTGATAAAAAAATCTAATTTATTAATTTACCTAATGTTACCTCTATTGAGTATTATTTTAACATAATTCCACAAGAATAATCATCGGTGTTTATCAATAATTAAATATGGCACAATAATCATACTTTTAACTAATAATCTGTTTTTTTTTGACATCCTTTATGTTAAAACGACCATAAAAATATAATATGTAATATTAATAACAGTTGCTGTTATTAAAGTTTGTAATTATAATGTATTTCTAGGTTATTTTTTTTTATTCATTTTCAAAACACTTATACAAAGAATAATGAATTTTTTTTTAAACGTGTAAATGGTTCACATAAAAAATACATAATAATACGATAGTAAACAAATAATTTCGTCCATCCATGTACAACATATTGTATATGTAAAGGTACCATATGATCACCTTATATGCACAATAAGTTTACTTATTTCAACACCATGTGGCGCTGCTAACTAGGTTCTTCGTTTATATACATTTGTTATAACTAAACGTGTTTACATTGTTATAAATGTTAATCAAGTATCAGTATAAATTTATTTTAAATACACAAAAATGTTCAAAAAAAATATCACTCTTTCATTATTTACATAAACACAACATTCAAAAATTATGAATCAAAATATTCACAGTGCTTTTTGATTGATGCAATTAATTACTGCAAGATTATGAATAGAAAATTAAATCCAATAAGCATACCTTATTTCTTTTTAATTAAAAGGTAAATGCAAATAGTAAAATCCACAAAACTAGTCAAATTTATCTAGATAATGTGTTGATCATTTAAATACTCAAACAAACAAACTTTTCTTTTTGTTGTACGATGATAACAGATAATATTGGTTCATAATAGTTATTCGTACTATTTGTAATTGAGCTTATTTTGTACAAATTACTATACATTTTTATTTAAATTACCTTGGAAATATAAGCTCAATGAATTATAAGAATAATAGTACAGTACAGAACAGAAATGAATCAAAATAATATTAATGGCACTTATCGTTTTTCCGTGAACTTAGTCATACCTATATCTCTTGACGTTTGAACATTTAGGACATTTATTTACTGGTTTTTTCAAATTAAATAATCTTTTTTATTTACGTAAGTTTACAAGTGATTTTATTCAAGTTCTCAAATAACTTGGTGTACTATTAATTTATTAGTTGTTGACGTAGATGAAGTAGAAAGTGTTTTCTATAATATTTGCTTTTTTTAAGAGGCAATTTTATCATAACACTTTCGAATAATTTTATCAATAAAAAACAGAAAGGATTTTAAAATTACATTTAATTTTTTTATTACATTGTCTAAACTCACGGTGAAATTATTTCTTTGTAATCAACAGCTGATTTCTGTCATATCTAGTGCTTCTTTTGTTGTATTGTGATCGTAACTTACATTAATTTCTACTTTTTTACACCATTGAATTAATTATTGAGTTAGTAAAAAGTATTTATAAAATAATTTTAATAATCTTTTTAATCCAATTAAATTCTATCAGTAATGGGACATAAATATCAAAGTAAAAAAAAACATTTAATAATTTAATTAATATTTTTAGTTTGCTAAATATACCTGAAAATATTCTTTTAGAATGTGTACATGATTACTATCATAAAGAGTATTATTATACGCAAATAAAATTACTCATTGGTTCAAACAGAGTTTGACTTTAAACGTTTTTCATATGTTTATTGTGATTTTTAATGACACTAAAGAAGATGAAGATAAACGAAAAGTATTGAATAACATCCTTGTGATCCATTGCATTCATTGGTTGTGCCTTTTTCAGTGCTTGGTAGGATTGGTTTTCATTAGTCATATCATATACATTCTCCGTGACAGTAGTCTCGTAAACTTCATCTGGAGTAGTATAGCTTCAATGCGTTTTAACGTTGAAAAACACTGATTATTAAAGCATATTTTTTCTTAATTATTTAATTTAAATGTTATTTTGTTAATACCTTACATGTTGTTTAAGTGTAAAATGTTTGGATCAAGTGTAAAACCCTTAGGTAATGATTATCAACATTCAAAATGACGTCATGTGATGAAGTCGATCATCTTGTACTATTCTCACAAGGGTCATGATAAATTTTTGTCATCTTTATACACTGTGATTCATAACTTTTTGTTTATTACATTTATTAAATTTATTACAAAAATGTGTTAAGAATTATTATAACAAGTAAAATGTTATTTTCATTATTCCATTTAACCATTCAATGTTTTGTGCATCAACCAATAGTTGCCCTAAATTTATTCAGTATTTCCTTTGTAATAATAGACATGAGTTAAACAGATAATTTGATTTATAAATATTTATATTATAGGTTTAAAGTAAATAGTAGAAAATAAAATAATCCGGTAACTCTGGCAAGATAATAAAATACTCCTAAATTGTATCAATTAAAAAAAAAAACAATGGATTCAGAAGAAGAAACTCTGTATGACGATGGAGATTCTGGTAATGAATCGAGTGGTGATGATGTTGATTTTGCTATGGAAATTGAGGCTGGAAATCCTCGAGAACGCACCAACGAAGCTGATGAATATCCTTTTGAAGTTTTAACTACTGAAGAAATTGTTCAACACATGATTGACTCTATCAAAGAAGTTAATTCTGTGGTAGAAGTATGTTTAATTTGATGCTTAATTGTTATTAATAAAAATATCATTGGTTCTAGATGATAACAAACATGTTAAAAGTGTGTCCAAATATTTCAAAATTTACAATTTATGTTTTTTTCAAGATTCCTGCGACCACAACGCGAATTTTATTGAATCATTTTAAATGGGACAAAGAAAAATTAATGGAACGTTTTTATGATGGAGATCAAGAAAAATTATTTGCAGAAGCACGAGTTGTCAATCCATTTCGAAAAGGATCTTTAATAAGAACATCCAGGGCATCTCAGAACACAGTAGTAATGATCATTTTTAACTATAAATTTTTTGAAAAATAAGACTTCATCATTTTAACATTAATTCTACAAAAATACTTGTGTTTTATCAACTTTTAGACACGAAGAACATCAACAAATGGTACTGAAGAGTGTGGAATTTGTTTTGTCACTCTTCCATGTTCGGTGTGTATTTCAAATAATTGATAAAAATTTATTATTTACAAATATCTAACTATTTTACTTAGCAATAAAAATAAATTGTAATGCTATAGATGATGACTGGGCTAGAGTGTGGACATCGTTTTTGTACTGCTTGCTGGGGTGAATATTTAACAACAAAAATTATGGAAGAAGGCGTGGGTCAAACAATTGCTTGTGCTGCTCACGCCTGCGACATACTTGTAGATGATGCTAGTGTAATGCGTTTAGTTAAAGATTCAAAAGTTAAACTAAAATATCAACATCTCATCACAAATAGTTTTGTTGAGGTAAATGTTTTATAGATATTTATAATGAATTATTATACTAACTGAATAAATTATATTTAAGTGTAACAGATTATTGAGGTGGTGTCCATCACCTGATTGTAATAGCGCTATTAAAGTGCAATATGTTGAATCAAAACCAGTCACATGTAAATGTGGACATACATTTTGCTTTCATTGTGGTGAAAATTGGCATGACCCTGTTAAATGTCGTTTATTGCGTAAATGGATCAAAAAATGCGATGATGATTCAGAAACATCAAATTGGATTGCAGCTAACACAAAGGAATGTCCTAAGTGCAATGTTACTATTGAAAAAGACGGAGGCTGTAATCATATGATTTGTAAAAATCAAAATTGTAAGGCTGAATTTTGTTGGGTATGTTTAGGACCTTGGGAGCCACATGGTTCTAGTTGGTATAATTGTAATCGATATGATGAAGAAGAAGCTAAAGCAGCTCGAGATACACAACAAAAATCAAGGTCGGCTTTACAGAGATATCTATTTTACTGTAATAGATATATGAATCATTTACAATCACTTAAATTTGAGAGTAAATTATATGCTAGTGTAAAAGAAAAAATGGAAGAAATGCAGCAGCATAATATGTCCTGGATTGAAGTAAGTTCAAATAAATGTGTTTAATTTTCATTTCATTAACTTTAATTACAATCACGTCATCTTGAAAATCAATTTCAGGTACAGTTTTTAAAAAAAGCAGTAGATATATTATGTTTATGTAGACAAACTCTTACATACACTTACGTATTTGCTTATTACTTACGAAAGAATAATCAATCTGTGATTTTTGAAGACAACCAGAAAGATTTAGAAGGAGCTACAGAATGTCTTTCGGAATATCTTGAGAGGAATATTACAAGCGAAAATCTTGCTGATATAAAACAAAAAGTTCAGGATAAATATAGGTAATTATTAATTTAATATTATTATAGTCATAAATGATTAATAAAAATGAAACATTTTAAATGACATTAATATTTTAATGTGTCTCTTTAGATATTGCGATAGCCGAAGGAAAGTGTTACTAGAACACGTTCATGAAGGATATGAAAAAGATTGGTGGGACTATATGGAATAAAATAAAAGTTGTCGTCTTACAATTTTACTAATTGTAACGAAATTCTTTTATTTTCCGTAACCGCCTTATCTGTGATAATCTGGAAAAAGATTAATAAAAATAGAAAAGGTCGCTAAAATGAAGTCTTGGAAATGTTTATTACAAAATAAAAAAAAAGAATATTGATGATTATGAAGTACGATGACCCACAATTGAAATTAGAAAATAATTATCTCAACAAAATTATCGAATATTTTAAATTTATAAATGTAATAAATTAATTTCTCGAATCGAATTTTTAAAAATGTTTTATGAACAATTATATTTACACAGTGGCGGTTGGAAATACTTAAACTGAAAGAGAAACGGTTAAAACAGCATCATTAATCGAATATAGATATGTAACTTTTAGCTAATGGTGTTTGATACAGCGGCCAATAACATAGTAACAAATTAGTGCAAGTGACTATATATAAATAAATAATTGTAATGGCCGTTATTTTTGTTTGGATTATGAATAGATTTCATATTCCTATCGAAAATTTAATTAATTTCATAAAAGAATTTACCTTGCTTTATATCGGATTAATACATGGACGTATCAAAAACATAATATTTCTAAGTACAATAGAGCTTTAGGGATTCAAGTTAGGCAATAATTTGTTTGTTGTGTATTTTTTATTAGTAGTTATCTCTTTTACATCATATATTTCATTGTTTAACTCGTTTCATTATTTTTATTTTTTTTCAAAATTGAGAAATTTCACAGCCAGCACTCTAGTTGATTCTAGCTTGTTTAAAACACTCCTTTTTTGATCGATATTAATTCTATACCTCACATAATAATGTACGTTATTTAAGCTCTCTTTTCATTATTCATTAAAAATTTTTCGCTTACTATTGTCACATCATAAATTATGTTTTTTGGAATTCAAAAATACAAAAAACATTATATAATTTTATTGATATTAATACGTAATTATGTATTTTTATTACAATTATTTTTATCATCATACTAAAAATACACCATTGTTTATCTTATATCAATTGAAAAGATAACTTTCTATGTTTTATTTTATCAAATAATATTCATATGAGAATGTTTCCCATGGTTCAACATTGGATAATTATTTACAAATGTGTATAATTCACAAGAGTCATATTTGACATATGTACATTGTAAGTAAATACAAAAACATAGTTATTAATATACATAAGATATACTACTAGTATCCAGTGTCTTTGAAATTCATTTAGTAAAGTTTAACATCGTTGATATATCATTGTAAACTTTTTACTTAATAAGATGAGTAGATTATGTCCTAAATAAATATTGAATGTAAGAATATATAAATTTGCTCAAATTATCTATGCAATCCCACGTGAAAGAATTAATTTTTAATTGTCATCTTTTGGCGTAAATTGAATCTATGGTTGTTGATAGAAAGTGACTAATTGAAAAATAATTTAACTGCTTGTGTAAATGAATAAAAATTCAAAATCATTCAGCTAATGAATGAATTCAGTTCGTCCCATTTTATTATCGTGAAATAATTTCGGTAGTAATTAAATTATATACATGAAGTAGCACATGTACAAGTATATGTAATTTATAATTGAATTATGAAATGTTTAATGATTTTTTTTTATATCTCAAACTATTTTTGAACAAATGATAATTATTATTTAACAATACTAACGATAAAACAATAGAAAATCATATGCATGAAAATTTTGTTATCACATATAACATTTTCTTTTTAATTTTTTTTTAAAAATTACGATTTTGTATATTGTTTATGTATTTGACGTTAATTGTTGTATGTATAATTAGCTATACATTAATAATTGCGTTGATTGATATTATTTTCACGTTTTACTCCAAAAATGTATCTTATAATTAACATTTAAACTATTGATTATTGTTTAAACTTTTTGTCTAGATAATTAGTGATAAATATCAAAAAGTTTAATAAAAAAAATTGTGCGAACATAACATGTTTTAGTAAGAAATTTATTAATTTTATTTCATTTTCGAAATGTTTATAAATAAAATATAGACATTATAAAAAATTCTCTTTATTATCGCCAGATATTTGTACAATGTTTTTCGTATTTTCTTATTATAGAAAAAAACCACCAAAATACACTATATGTTATAATTATACAACATGTGTGTTCAATTCGTTATAAAATGTAAGGATATTATATTTTTCATCGGCATTGTTTGTTGAATTTATTATTTGATATATTTTCTACCTAAAATAAATTATGAATAAATACAAATTATTTGCATCTACCTAAATTTAATATGATTTCGAGATTTTCATTTGGTGTTGGACATATAAATTCTAAAATATTATATTAGATTGTTACAAAAGCGATTTGAAAATTAGTTACTCAATTATATTTGATTGACATAAATTTAAAGCAAATACACCTAAATTTCGACGCTACATCTAATTTCTTAAATTTGAATACTTTTGCAACAATCTAGAATACATGTCAATATTTTTTAATTGTTATATTTTAGTTCTAAATATATTTAATTCTTTTTATCAATACTATCTATTATCTGCATGACAAACTATTTTTATTATGATAATATCATTTAAAAGATGTTTGATTGTAAAATTATTACAATAGTCTCATTAAAAAAAATTAACTGATAAACTTTAAGTAATTAAAATTTTTTATCAGATAACTGATATAATTATTTTCCAATTTTTATACCAATTATGTATTCTTTTGTTCATATTTAAAATCTATTTTCAATATTTATCATACAATCACAGGATATAAGTACGTCATACAACTTTAAGTCCAATAACTCTATTTGAAAATAGCTTTCGCAATCTATAAAACAATTGTTTCATTTTTTCAGTGATGAGAAAGATCTATAAATTTTAAAGCAAACACAAATAATCGAATCAGTGATATTAAAATAAACAGTACTAATTTTTTGAATTCTTACAGTAGTTTTAACTGTATCATTCAACTACCTTTAAGATGTCACGGTTAAGATTGTAGCGACCAGACTAAGAGTTGCACCAGTCATTAAAAGACTTCTCCAAACTGCTCCACTAACTTCCTCAGCAACAGGATATTCTATACATAACTGTTCCTGTAGAGAGAGAGAAAAAAATAAAAAAACTTAGTAAAAATTATGCATATGTTTAATATTATATTGAAAATAATTTATATAAACTTCTTAATATCTCATAAATGAAATGAATTAATATAACATAAGTGACTTACCCAACCACCATATCCTTTGATAAAATGTGCAATTTCTTCTCCAACATATCTTGCGACATATAAGGGTAGTTTTTTTTTGAGAGCATGCATTCTTCCATCTCTTGCCCAAAGAGCCAGTCTTCCCATAAAAGCATATAAACAAACAATTTTGGCCCAGGTTATTCCACCATGTAGAAACAATTCATCAGCTACACCAGTGAAAGCTTCGTACGCAGTATCAGGTACGACATTCAAGCGGTTTACCATACTGGTAAATAAAATGCTATGTTTGTTTAACATTTGATACACATTGTGACGCATACTGCGAGATATTGAGTCTCTCGATATGAGATACATATCCTCTTTAAGCAGGTACCTAATGACGTCATTGGCGAGACACTCAGCTGTCAGTTCTACGGAGTCATCACAGATGGAATATCTAGAGGGTGGAGCAAGTTGAGGAAAAAGATGCTGCAGTCGAATCTATAATAATAAAACACCAAAAAAAAAACTGTCAAAAATATTTTACTTTGTACTTTGTAAATGGTGTGGTTGCTCCTTATTGTTATCGATTGTACATAGAAATAGTAATAAAAGTAATTCATAATAATTTCTAGATTATTGTATGAGTGAAATCATATTATCTTCTAATATGTTGTTAGTAAGAAGTGTATGGTTTTAAAAATAAATGATTAATCAAATTACCTGGCAAATTTCGATAAAAGACATACCGCCGTTGGCAGTACTCACACCATAGCGGCAAACACCATCGGTGTTCTCGCTAGCCTGGTCGCTTAGCAAATTCCTGTTACCGAGGGGAACACATTCCAGAATGCCGCCCACTCTGGAATGCGGTTCCCCCCTTGCTGATGCACCGTGATCATCTCCCTCTCCTATCTCATTGTTAGTCGCACTGTCACCGGCCATAACTTGATGTGAATTTTTTCGTAACTGTCGGATAATGAAAATAACACCAAAAAATAAAAAATATATCCACCTTTTGAACTGTAAAAAATTTTCTTTGATTGAACGCAGTATAACACAAGACAATATTACACACCATACAAATCCCGCTGCACCCTGGATCTCTTTCTCTCTTTCTTTCCGCGTCTCACAACTGCCACCGCAGCAGCAGCATCCCGGCGAAATCCACGGTGTTTCGTCCGCTCACGAGGAGTATGCAAGAGAAAAAATAAATGCTTACCGCTCTCTACTTTCCCGCGGCCATTTCCGAAGCAGCAACCCCCACTGCCAATATCGTTCCCACTGTCCAAGCTAACGCCGTCGCCGTTGCTTACCACATAACAATTCTATGGATCATTCAGGTTTAATCCCCACCATTATCCATGAAACTCGATATCTCACACAGTACAACTTACATATATATTCACATAATATAATACACAACTCATGACTCGGCATCACAAGGCGCCTCACACGGTGTTTCCTCAAAGTATATAGCATTCTCTTTATCACTCCTTAGGCTACACTACCATGTATTTATGTGTGTATGTATTCATACATGTATGTGTATTCTACCAAGTTAATTTTTTTACAGCCGATAAGCTGCACCACGAGTTCATGCTGCATCAAGCCTCGAGGAGAGTTTCATTCAAGGAGTCATGCTTACCCCTTACTCCACTTCACTCTTGTGCATTCTGTGAACAGTCTCGCCGTCACTACTACCGCCATACTTTGCTCTCTACATTCATGATTATTTTCCAGACAAGATACTCGACAATCATCAAGATTTATAAGAAATCATTGACCATAAGTAAAAGATGGTACATTTATTTAATACATCGATAGCAGTATTTGACATTTTATTTTTTTCTCCTCTCAATGCTTCATATCTTGAACCATTTAAGTGCCTAAAAAAAGTAAGTTTATTAACCAAAATGGAATTATTTATAATAATGAGTTTTTTTTTTACTTATATATATCTAATCAAATGATATAATTATGATTTTTCTGTTATTGGGTATTTCTAGGTTAATATAATGAATCACAGTGATGAATCATATCCAACCCTGCGGCATTACTATATAATACATCCGACATGTGAAGTGAAAGTCTCGCAAAATACCGATACATAATGTACATTTATACAGCTATAGTGCATAAATGATTGCGTTGCGGTCACTGACATCCAAGTTCTCAGCATAACTTCTTAGCTTATTTGATTCTTGAATCCAATATCATATCTAATGTATAGAACCAAGTGGTGTTGCACGCTAAGTTATAGCTATATAACTACATAACAACCTAGTCGTTGTATTATACCATTCGTTTTTCACCGAGCAACCTTCAAAGGCCACTGAGTGTTTCGATGAATGAAGTAGGAAAGTGTAATGTTGCAGCGACCGGATGTGTTACCACTGATTATGAAATCGAGAAAATAAGAGATGAAAGATTAAAATAATTTTAACCAGTTTTATTGATTTTTTTATATCTACAAATCATTTTTATGAACAGTATTATTATATACTATCATATTTGAAGAATTAACAATACATGATAATTATTATTAATTATCTAATTATATTATGTCAGATCTTTTCATATTAATTATATACATTATAAAAAGGTATTTATTTATAAAAATGCAGAAAACTAGATGTTCATTTTTATCTTATCTTATTCTTTTTTGATAATAATGTTTCAATATTTTAAAAAATTTTTTTTTAATAATTATAAAGTATGCAAAGTAAATGACAATAATGTACATAGTTATGTTTAATGTAATTTATGTAGCGTATGTAAGAAATAGTATATATGTGCTGAATCAAAGTTAACATAAACAATCGAAAGTAGTTTTTCTATTGAAATAGAATTAATTGGGTTGATTTAATAAGCACAAATCATATGACGCCCTTTCATTGAATAACCGAATACTGTTTAGTTATATTAGGTTTGCGCAAGATGTACGTGTGATTATTAGAATGTCGTGTACCGGACGTGAACAAATTGACAATATGAGTCATGTGTAAATGACATATAATTGGGTCATTATCCTACTGTTAGGCGTTGATACTGCAAATTAACCAAGTGACAATGTACAAGGAACAACATGCGACTTGAGTAAAATTTTATTGCAGTACTTTGTTCTTTCAATTTTTTAACAATCATCCCAGATTATAAATTATTAAGTCATCCTGTTCAATTTATTTGCCAATTAAAAAATTATATTGTGCTATTTTTTTTTTCTTCATTTATAGATAAACTAATGGACATTAGTCTGGAAATTCTTCTTTTCTATTACAATTTGAGAGGAATATTCAACAAGCACTTTAAGTAATAGTGAAAAGTTCAAGGATTTTATGGCAAAGACATGGATTGTAATCAAGTTTTCTATTAATTAAACATTCAATTTTATACATCTTGAAAAATTAAATAATATCAATGTTATGAATTAATTTGAAACAAGTTTTGGACAAAAAATGGAAGAAATATAAATGTAATGTTTACACAATGTTTTAGATGATAACTAATCTAATGGTTATATTAGTACCAGCTTTAACTAGTTTCTTTTATTGATGTTTATGAGAATATTTTTTAATTTCAATTATTCAAATAAAATTTCAAAGTTGTTTTTTCAATCAACTTAAACTTTAGTATTTTTTACGAAAGTAATGTCTTTATTATTCAATAAATAATTTTTTTTTTTCCTGATTATGAAATAACTGAGATTAAAAAGTATAAAATTAATAAATTAAAATAATGTAAATTTGATGTTTCCATGTATTTAATTATCTCATTAGAATAGCAATGAAATTATGCTATCTTAAAAAAAAAAAACCTATCATGAAAACAACATTGAAAGAATATATTTCAAGGGTTACTTACTTTTAGAAGCTTTTCTTACAGTCATTTATGACTGTATAACACATCAATAGAATGATTGCACTCAACAATGTGATCGCTCAAGTGAATAAAGTCTTTCCTAGTAGTTAAATTCTTGCTGGGCGCAGGATTTTTTCGTTTGAAATTTTTTTATATTTCATAATTTATTTTTATTATTTATGTAACTTTAGTTTTGATAAGAATTTATGGGATTTTAAAATTTCTAAAATGAGATAACAAAATAATTTGAATTTGAATTTTATTTTTCTCAAGAAAGACGAAATTACAAAATGACCAGAGATATGATAAATTATTTAAAAAATTTCTAAACAATGCATATTTATTATAATCTATGTAAATGATTTATTATGATATACTGTGTACTAGTAATATCATAACACGAACAATGTATTTGATTCGCAGAACAATCATGAATTTAGACATATATGCTTGAGCATTCATTATTTCTGTTGATAGCTGAGATATCCAGTTGTAAATCTGGAGAGCTTACGCACGCGAATATTTATTCATTCTCATACCCTGAGAGCTGGTACGTGACAATTACGTGAAGGTTGACTATTCTCTCAATGAAAATCATCTTTAACTATCATTTATAATGAAATTTATGATTTATTTGAATTTAGTGCTTGGAAAAAAACAAAATAAAAAAAAAGTTATCTTTAAGATAGAGTTGCCTTCAAGTGAATTAATAAACAATGTTTAAAAATTAATTAATCTAAAACAAGAAAAAATATTTAATAATTATTTATTACAGTGTTGTTGATGTATTGCATGGAAATAAATAATATGTAAATTATCTCATGGTTAAATATGCTTATGGTAAGGTCATTTTTTATATTAAGATAAAAAATGATTATCGACATTATTTAAACAATATAATTATAATTGGTATATTAAAACAATTAATAATACCATAAATCTAAGATATAATTGTCTATAATTAAGATCTTAAAATTTGTATTTTAATTATCAAATGATGTTCTGTATAATATTTTCCATATTTTTATAAATAAATTAATAAAAATAGTGGATAAAAAAATTATCAACCAAGAATGTAAAAGAGTAGATGTTTAGATGATTTTTGTTAATTTAGATCAATTGTATTTTGAATAAATGAAGAAGTAGTAGTGAGATTATGAGAAAAAGAGAGATTTATTATACCTAATGGTTGAAAGAAAAGAAATGATGGGGTACCCAATTTAGGGGTCTAGAGTGACGTCCCTGAGGTAAAGCTTGAAATGCTCCATCAGATTGACAGAAGTACTCGCGACGAAGTGACTCCTTCCCAAGTGATTTAGTTAATAAAATACTCTGTTGAATTGTACGTGCAGGTCGACAGCTTCTACTGTTATCACTGTGCTAGAAAAAAATTTCCTACAAGATCGTTAGTAAAGCGGTAACAAATATCGCGTGTGATCTGTGAGTAAACACTTACTTTGCCAACTATCCTTTTAAGATCCGGTTATTATGAATAGGTAAGTACTATTATTTAAATTTTTTTTTTATCATAAAATTTACAGTATTATTTTTTAATTTATATTTATATCTATAAAAAATTTACAAGAATTTATGTATTTTTTATCGCCGAAAAAATTGAACAAAAAAAAAAAATAATAATAAATATTTTATTATTATAAATAAATGAAATAACAAATATCTCACGGATTTGATAGAGTGTATCGACCCCGCAAATTTGATGAGACATTTCCGTAGACCGGAAATCAATGCGTTAGGGTTGTTTAATAATAATTATCTTTGACAATACTTCATAAGATTATGCTTGTAATTTCTATATGGCAATTTATATTATCTATTATATTGAGTTCATTGAGGATAATTTTTTAATTAAATAAACTAATAAATGGGGGGGGGGGAAATAACTAATATTAAATTTTCAAATTTACATTTATTTATTAATTTGTTATTTTAATCATAACATGATGAATGAAATCAGATATTTTATGACTAATACATTTGTAATAATTCTTTATTTTTTTTTTATCATTTATAAAACCTGATTATTTTAGAATAATTACAATTGCTACTACAATTATTAGTAATTAAGTAGAACATAAAAAAAAGAAGTAATAAAAACAAGTTTTTTATTGTAAAAATAAGCTGAAAAATTCAGTCATGAATAAACAATAAGTAATAATTTTTCAACATATCCCTTTTTATAAAGTTTATCGGTAGACATTAAAAATTTATTAATTTGAACAAAAAAATAGAATTTTCAATGATTTACGTATCACAGGTTCATTAAATGCGCAATAATAAAAAAAAAAAATCAATGGTATATTTTATCAGACTAAATGAAATTCATACTATTAATGAACAAAAAAAACAAAATAAAATATTCAATGATCAGTATAATGTCATTCATAAAGTAATTCGATGAATGAACATTCAAAGTATGTTATTATATTATTAATAACGTATAAATAGTGCCCCGTAAGGTACATATTATATTTCGATAAATAAACTGATTCGAGTAGCCATATGTCTTTATCTCTCTCATCTCTGATTGATACCATACGTTTATTTAACTTCGTTTCTCTAATCATCGTGATAATGCACGTGCTAACAGGAAGTAAAGTAAAGTTATACGTAGTAAGCATCTTATTATGTATAATTACAAGAATAGTAAACGATTTTGTATGATTAGATGTAAATAAGTTATATTAAAAATTTTTTAAAATAATTTTTCAAATAAATGATAAATAATATTTTTTAGTTTTTATAAAAATAAATATTAATTAAATATTGCAATAGTCAATATGTATTGCACATGTTTTGTAAATTTTTTATTTCATATTTGTGCTCTTGAATATGTTGTTATAAATATTGCAATTATACCTCTCTCATCTATACCAATTCAGATCATTATTGTCAATTAAATATTACATTCTCATCTTTTTCTATTTACATTAATAGCCGATGCAGTTTATAATTTACATAGACCATCATTCGATCAAGTTGAATATTTTTAGACGAATTTTTAAAAATAAATAAATACCTTGATATGAATATTTATTATTTAATAATAAATATTCTGCGTTAATTTTTTGTGGTATCGAATCGTGTTTGTTTTTATATTCTTATACATCGGTAATGTTGATTATAATGTATAGTTTGTATTATGATGAATTAATTTACGAGTGTGTCATGGAGACGAGAAGTAAAGCTAACATTCACTTTTCAGGGCTAATTGGAGTAACAAATGCGTCGATTAATTTAGGTCATTATTCGCAGTTTTAGAAAACAAGTGTGAGAATTATGCCAGACTAATTATTATTTTATTAACTAATTTATTTTTCATTAATTTTATTTCTCAGAAAATCATTTTTATAGTTAACATTTTTCTATAATCATGATAATTATAAACTATTTACCTCTTCTGTCATGTGGTATATAGACCCAAATCACTGATCAGTAGCAGAGATCGGGGGTTATTGCTCATCATCAACCTTCAGTCACGTGTCTACTGTGTAAACTTGCCAATCTACGATTCAAATAAATCTTTATATAAACTAACATGGAAAACATGAACACTTCAGACGACAAAAAATCTTGTGATTTATTATTACAAAGTATTCTGGATAAAAATTCATTTTATATCCAATCGAAAAAGACATTAACATTGATGTTAAAAATTATTATTATAATTTAATTAATAATGTCAAGTAATTGATGCTTTAAATTTTAAATGATAAAAATGACTGAAATTTCATTTTTACATTGTCGTGCTATGTTACTGCTAATATTTGTCTCAAGACACATGTGATTATAAGATTTACACTCGTCAGATGTTTGATTTACGTTAAATTACGCAATTATTTTATATGACAAGAAAAGTCTTAAACAATAGAATAAAATGTTTATTTCTTTCTCTAATGACTTGCTATTGTTAACGAACAATTAAATTAAATTCACACATATCATTTCTATCGATTGTATTATGATATTAAAAATTAAATCATTTAGATCAATTTAAAGACACGTAGAAATTTTTTTAAAATTATTCAACATGAAGTAGATAATATTTATAAAAAATAAATGATTGGTTTTTTTTTGTAAAAATATCAAGTAAAGTTGAAAAAGAATGATGATTTAGTTATTTGATATCAAATCTAGAGCTTGACTGATGAGAATTATTAAAGCCCATTCAGTACAAAAAGATCACCGATTTGATTTGCTGTTGCTCCTCTTATCATTCCTTCTCTCCCACTGTCTTTCTTTCTCTTGAATTCAGTTTACCATTTGATGATAGTATTATTGAAAGATAGAGAAAGATAGTTATTACTTGTCTTTATATTCAACATTGAGACAGAGTAAGAAAATATCTTTTGGGCTATACTGTTGATCAAAATGCAGAGTGGGGATGAATTCGCGATTGCTCTTCGTATATAAGCTTTCAGCTTTGTCCTCGCACTTTGGTTGTTCCCATTCGGGCAACTTTTCCAAGACTTGGCCAACACCACACCGTAAGTTTTAAAATAATATTTATTTATTTATTATTTTTATTATTATTAATAATAATTGTAAGTGCAATGTTTTTTTTTTTTTTTCGTTTGTTAGACTACTGATGATGATAATGACAATGATGATGATAATGATGATAATGATGATAAAGATGGTAATACTGAATACTGGTAAATAAAGATATTCAGTGGCACGAATTAAAGGATTTCGTCCATCACATTAGATGTTCGTGTTCATGCGTCATCGTCAGGGTCGAAACAATTTATTTTTCATGGTGTAAAATATTTAAAGATTATTTTAAAAGTTTCAATTGATTCAATAAAGTTTTGAAGTATTAAACAGTTTAAAAAAGAAGAAAAAATTTTTAATACTACTTTGTCAATTAACTTTCTTTAGTAATTTCTTTAACGTCGTTTATTTTGTATAATTTTTGCTCTTTTTTCCATAATAATTAAATTGAATTTCTTTATTTATTTATGTATTTAATAAAACAAATGATAAATGAAAGAAAATAAATATTGCATTTTATACTTTTATGCATTGTAATAGCAATGCTGTTGATCAGTTACGCAACATCAAGTGATACAATTTATGAAAAAGTAGACGATTGGACAATAAAAATAATTAAGTAAAATGAACAAATTTATTTATGAGTTTAAAATAATAATATCAGTTATAATAATTTATATAAATATTATTTTCTGTATTTAAATCATGACCTTGAGTATTTGAGAAAACAAATATTAGCATAATTTGTTTTTTTTTTAGATTTTAGCAGAAATTTTTAGAGTCTCTTTGATTCATCTTCTTTAATTCTCTTCATCATGTCAAAATAAACTTATATATAAATACTTTATTTATTTTTATTACAAAAGCAAAGAAAAGCAAAAAAAAATTTATTTCTTATTTTCTAAAATTTATAATATGACTGTTTATGAATGTTTTAATAAGTAAAAACAATACTATTGACACTTCTTATTATTACACTAATTGTAAGTAATTAACCGGAAGTTTTGATTATCAAAATGATTAAAAAGTACACTTATATCAAAACTTCTCACTGATAACTGTTAATCTTTAACAAATAGACACTTAAACTCGTGTATTATCAATGTAGCATAATATAAATTATTATCAGACTCATTCAGTCACACGACTATTAAATTTATCTATTTTATCCTTTTTTCCCCTTTACCAATTGGATTACTTTTATTTTCAATAATCATTCTTTTTTCTCCACTATTTCGTAATAAACACAAATGTATATCAACATTAATAGATCTAGAGAAAAAAAAATTTTCTCAATCAATCAATTATTACATATTTAAATAAATTTCTTTATCAATAAATAATTAAATCATAAAAAAGATATGACCTATGCTAATTATGATGTGTTGCAATTGAATGTATACATATACTTATAACTTATCATCAGTTAGACAAATATAACACATATTTGCAGTCTAGTTAGTGGGAGGTATAGTAGTTGCAGGTATCTCTTAGATGCCTGAACTATTTCATACTCATTTCATCTTTTTACACTGTCACTAACCGGTTAAATTATCATCCTATAGTGATATTAATCTTGTCGTGGTTTAACGTATTGTCTTTATTGAATAATCACTTTGTTCTAATTAACTATTGTTTGCTAAATAAACGATATATTATTTATAATTTGACATAATTATATTTAATAAATGAAAAATGTTATCAAAATATTCTAACTATATCGATCAATACTCTAAGTGGTTTAAACAAATTATAAAATCATTGTGATGCTAAAAATATTCAATTGTTTAACATAAAATAAATAATTAATTAAAAATTAATCAAACAAAGTGAAAATTAAAGTAGTAGTTGTTCGAGTGATAATTAAACAAAACAGTGACACTAATTTAATAATTAGAAATATTTTATAATCACTCATTATTTTTCAAATTTTCCATCATGTTTTGTAAGTTAAAATCATTTATTATTTATATTTATTTATTAATTAACAATGACATGATAATTTATTTTTTTTTTTTTAAAGTATTTTAATCTTTTTTTATACAATGAAAAAAGTATTTTTACGTATGTTAAAATGTCTAGATTAAGATTAAATGTCTACATAAATAATTAAAAAAAAAAGATCAAAATTATCAACTATTTTTAAATCAAGGTTCTAAAAATTGTGACATGTATGGCTGTAAATCTAATAAGTAAAGTAAAGTGTAAATTCCATTTTTTCACACCGTTCACTTCGATATTTGTAATATACTTTATTCTTCTTCATTATATATCAAGATGGATTCTATGAAGTTTTGTCTGACCTTGATTTTCATTTTCTACTGCATAAATCTTTTTAGCCTCGAATCGCGTCAGTCTTTCACAATGTTGTTCATCATTTTCATGTCTACTAAACTCAATAAATCTATTTTACTAATCTAGGCTCTAGTTTTATACTTAAAAATGTGATAAAAAATCACTTAACATTCTATTGTTTTTCAAGATTATTAAAAATATCATTTAAAAAATAGAATATATACTCAGCACTTGTATTGTAGATGAATAAAAAAGATTTATTGACTTGAGATATCTTTAAATAATACGTGTAACTAGATCTTAAAAGATGTAACAAACATTTTTCAAATGTCATTTGACAAATTGCATTATTTATTGTATTAACAACGTGTGTAGAGTCATTTATAATTGTTGTTGCAATTGTTATGACTCTTAAAAGACTAAAATCAGGTATGGAATATTCATTTGACACTAGTCTTTTGTAAATTCCACAAAAATCGGAAATAGTCTAGATTTTTATTATAAATAAAAGCATAATTTTATTAAAAATATTTCCATTTACACAACTTTAATTCATTAAAGATATTAAATCAATAATAAGTTATTTTATTATTTTTTTTTCAATTAATAATTCAAATATTTTATCTTCTTTTAAAAAAATAATAAATATATAAACTTTTTTATTATTCTTACAGAACACTTAAAGTTCAAAAAATTGTCAGTATATTATTATTCATCAGTACAAAGTGAAAGCTGAATAAACATTCAAATTGTAAGATAATTTTTTATTTATTCAATTAATGATCGAATAAATATATATGTTAATGTCAAAATGACGAAAAAATCAAAGATATCAGGGCAGAGAGAGTGATTTTGTTGGGTAAATATATTTGTTTGATTGAAAAACAATTTGTTTCAAGTCATGAAAATATAAATAACTTCAACAGTTCTCTATATTTATAAATTAATATTGTACTTGTTATTAAATTAATCCAATCTGAAGTGCATTTGGGAATATATTCAGCTCTAATTCCAGTTAAAACTAAAATAACATCTTATATTCTTCAATATACGGTGCGAATTTAAATTTAAAAAATTTAATAACAAACATTTTATTTATATCATAAATCATCAATTATGATATAACTTATTATATTTTATTTTCAAACACAATGAAATAATAAATAATTATTGAAATTTTTTTTAAAATTCTATTGGTTTGCCTAGATGTAGGGATATTTGCAAGTACCCTCATGACCGTGTGGCCTAACGGATAAGGCGTCGGACTTCGGATCCGAAGATTGCAGGTTCGAGTCCTGTCACGGTCGAAATTCTTTTTTAAATTAGTTAATTAACAATATAAAATGTTAATTATTTACAGTGATTTTAAATTAAATAATTATATTGCTGATTTAATAAAAGTGAGCAAAAATAACGAGATACAATCAGCCATACAGAAATCCAACATCTTTTGATTTGAATTTAAGTTAAATTAAATACAAAAATTCCTATAGCATGTTGTTATTTATAGGTATTAAATCATAGATATCAACTAAATAGCTCACAGCGTAAAAAATAGCAGTGTGGATTAAAATAGAATAATTAAACTCATGGGAATTAATTCACAATTGCAAAGAATCCTGATATTTTCATCTTTTATCTATGATTCTTATTAATAGGTAGATGTATTCACCACAGGATTCATGATTTTATTTATAATTTGCATTGCATCTGTTATTATAGTTGTTCAATATGTTCGTACAATAGAATTATATTTACCAGAATGATGATTATATACCACTGCAAAAACATTGGTTGATGTTTAAAAATTTATCAAAAGTTTAAAAAATGTATCAATATTATTTATCATATAATATTTAATATATATTTCATTAAAAAGCTAATTTTTTTTGTTATTTTTGTCTTATTCTAGCTCGCGTGTGAACGCAAAACTAAGCCCCGTTGTTAAGAAGCAGCAGAGCAGCGCAGGATTAGCAGGAAAATTTCGCCAAAATCTTCACAAAAAAGATCTGACTTCTTCAATAAACCTACCAATTACATCAGATTAATTATTTAATTTTCTTTCAAAGCGAAACTCTTCCAACTGTGCCGACATCGTAGAATGGTAGAAAGTGAACTACACTCAAAGCACAATAATAGTGAGTTGATAACATTGATTATCAATGATGCTGTTGATGGTAAAATAACTCAGTGATTCATCTAATTGTAATTCCTTTACAGAGTGTGATGTAAAAGACAATCGATTAAACGGCTGCGGTTCGAAAGATCTAGAACTTGCCGGGATAGGATCAAAGGGTAAAACTCTAGATCCCGAAAAAGGATCTTGTATTAAAGCTGACTTTGAAAAAGCTATTGAATTAACTGGTAAGTTCAATAAACGAAATATATCATTAAAGTAGAAAAGATTTTTCAAGTTGATTAATTTAAACTTTTAAGAATATCAATCATACACAATGATTGAATTACAGAAATTTATTGAAAAAATGTAATCTATATTATTTCAGAGTATGGAAAGTTTCACTACTTCTTACTCGCAGTATGCGGGTTCGTTAGTACGAGTGAGGAGATGGACGTAATTTCTATGTCTTTTATCTTACCAAGTGCACAATGTGACTTGCATTTGAATACCGAAGCAAAGGGATGGCTCAGCTCCATCATCTTCATTGGCATGATGGCAGGGGCTTATGCATGGGGCTCAGTGGCAGATGCCTTGGGTCGACGAAAGGTTCTTATTGTTATTTCTTTTATGAATGCCCTCTGCATCGTAGCGTCCAGTTTTAGCCAATCTTATGAACTATTTCTGTTTTTTCGTTTTCTCAATGGAGCTGCGTAAGTATTTGTTGATCTTTTTGAAAAATGTCTCATAAAAATGATACATAATCTGATAAAATTCTCTATGTATTTCAGACTAGGTGGTAGTGGACCAGTAATATGGTCATACTTTGCAGAGTTTCAACCAAAATCCAAACGTGGATCAATGCTGTCATTTATGGCAGCATTTTGGACCCTTGGAAATTTGTTTGTGGCTGGACTAGCATGGCTGGTTATCCCTCATGATATCGGTATCGACACTAAAATGTTTACATTTAATTCTTGGCGAATTTTCCTGCTAATCTGCGCTGCTCCCTCTTTTATTGTGGCGGGACTACTTCTATTCCTCCCTGAATCTCCTAAATATCTGCTATCACGTGGTAGATATGAAGAAGCTCTTAATATATTCCGAGGTATTTATGCCATAAATACTGGTAAACCTCGTGATACTTACACAGTCAAAGAATTAGTAATCAATGACTTTCATGAATTGGAGTCAGTAAAGTCTGATGCCAAAGAAAAAAATAAGTACAAGATTATGCTGAGTGACATTATAGACAATAGTAAACAGTTATTTGTCTCACCAATTTTACGTTTCACTGTAATATCAATTATCATTAACTTCACTTTTCATATTGGTTATTATGGTCTTATGATGTGGTTTCCGGAACTTTTTAATCGCTTTGATCTTTATAACCAGCATTATCCAAATCAAACTGCCGACGTCTGTGAAGTTACTGATTTTTATATAAGAGTTAGAAACAATAATACTGAAGAAAATAGACCGTGTGATAGTAAAATCGGTGAATCTGTTTTTATTGAATCACTTATCACTGTTGCTTCTGCTATTCCTGCCAACATTGTCGCAGTCTTAGGGATGGATCGTTTAGGTCGCAAATTTTTTCTTGGTAAGATTTTTTTCAATTGTTATTCATTTAATCTTTTAGATTAAATAATGATAACCATGATATTTTTTATGTTTAGTTTTCAGTACATTGTCTTCAGGTGCATGCTCTGTAGGTCTTTATTTTGTTTACAATAAAATTCACAACGTAGTAGTCTCAGCTTTCTTTAGTGGTGTGATTAGTTGTGGTAATGCGGCTTTGGATTGTCTTATTACCGAAGTATTTCCAACTAGCCTACGAGCAACTGGAATAGCTATTTCAATGGTTGCTGCTAGATTAGGCGGTATCATTGGTAATATTGTTATAGCCCAATTGCTAGACATGTACTGTCCTGCACCTACATTTATCGTTGCTGTTCTTCTTATTGGTAAATTAACTCATTTATAATGATTCAAGATCAATAATAACAGGACTAATTCAAATTGTTTGCCATTACAGGAGGAGGTTTACTATGTTTATTTTTACCAAACACAACGCGGGAACCACTTTCCTGACACCAGTAAAATAACAATACATCGTTCATGTTTCATGGATAGTCGTTATAAATTTTTATAGAACGTATTAAACATTAAAAGAGACATAATGTTAATGGTCACATGTAGAAAAACAAAAAAAAAACACAGGGTAGAATATTATAACTCAACACCTATTATGGAATATTCAATTTAGATTAGTAATAACTTTTATTGTTTAATAATAGAAAAATGATTTTATATAAGATTAACTCTGGAAAAATAAATATGGGCAAATTGTGAATGACTGAGATGGTTGATTTATTTTTTTAATAATGACGATGTATGTGTATGTATGATAGAAAAAATTATACAACAATATTTATAGTGACTCTTATAAGTGCTCAAATGTTTTAGTGATAATAAGTTGTATCTCAAATATTTATTATTATTTTTCAGCGTATTATCAATAAAATTGAAATATTTATGTATGTAGATATATATGTATGCATATATATGTACAAATATATATATATATATATATGTATATATAATTTAATCATCAATAATTGTTTTATGATTCAAATTATTATTTTTGGATTATTTGTGACATGTGAAACATCACGAATAAAAAAAATCTTCATAATCTAGTTGTTTTTTTTTTATGGACTTCCTTTACTCTACTTAATAGATTATGTAAATTAATTAATAAGAATAAAGGAGTAAATATGTAAAATAGAAACGACGTAAATTTATCAATAATAATGTGCTTTTTATTTCTTTGCACAATACAGATCAAGATAACTTGATGATAGAAAATAATGGTCGAGTCACTTACTCTCTCAACATTTTTTCTTTTTGTCGGGCGAGCTTCTTCTTACTTAATTTCTTCTTCAATGGTTCTTCTTCTGTTGCTTTAGTTACAACATCTTCTTTCTCTGTGAGAATAACTTCTATATGACAGGGACTACTCATATAAGCTGAAATTAATTGAAATATAAAAATATAACAACCTATGAATAATAATTATTTTATAATATTAACTTATTATTATTATTATTATTATTATAAAACATACGATTAATTCGGCCATGAGCTCGGTATGTCCTTCTACGTAAACAAGGAGCATGGTTTACTTGAATATGATCAATAACTAATCGATCAACATCTAGACCTTTGTAATCGGCATTTGATTCAGCATTCCTCAATAATTGGAGTAAAAATTCAGCTGATTTTTTGGGCCATCTTCCTGATAAGACCAAAGAAATATTATTTTAAAAAAATATACATACACTGTTCATGACATTCTTGTTAATATAAGGATGACGAAAAGATTATTCAATTAAAAATAGCATTTATAACCTTGTGTTGTGCCGAATTGTTTAGCTTGAGCACACCTGCCAATTCCACCATTGAATCTTCTGAAAGGAACACACTCCTTGTGTTCAATAACATTTTTTAAATATTTTTGTGCTCTTCTTAAAGCCATATTTTTAATAGCACGTGCAGTTTCATGAGTGTTCTGTAATATTAAATTTAATTAACAATTATTTATAAAAAAAAAAGGTTAAATGAATTGTAAAACATTATTTTCATGAAAAAAAATATAATAGAAGTTACAAAATAAATAATTAATAATGAATAAAATATTAGAAATAGATTTTAATGTGTAAACAAAGTGTTTATTTTCAATTTATGATATTTTCAACATTGCGCATAATTTCCTCCAGATAAAAGAGAGGTTAGGTTTTGGATTGTATACATTAAATTCATTTTTCTAATTTACCTTGAAATGAACACGTAAATTAGAACCCCGTGCCTTGCAGGATTTGGCTGTATTAGTCGGTTCTCGAGAATATCGACCCATTATGTCCTATAATTACAAGTAAAAATTATAAAATATCAATGTAAACTATTAATCAATACAAGAAATGCACAAATGGATAGATTCAAATTTCAACTATCACACAACTTATCACACAATATTTTGTATTGATTTTCGTTAAAAATAATAACTACTGTTCAAAAAATAATCGTGAGATATTGGTCTTTGAATTGAATGTGCATAACATTAATTATTGATAATGATTGATTAAATAAAACTTGATTTTCTAAACAAAATTCAGAAAACTCTACCTTTTGACAATATGATGTTAAAGGGAAAAGACATGAGCGTTCAAGAGTTTCAGCGGTATCCACTTCCGGAAAGATGGAGCCAGTGAAGCTGAGTGTACGTCATCATACATATTTGTGTGCCCACATAGCATTTCTGATTTTGTAATACATCAAAAAATACATATATAAAATATACATACATGCATGTATTAATAATCACAAATTGATGTTTGTAACAATTAGAAATTTGTAATTTTAAAAATCATTTGTTTAAATAAAAACATTCAACTTTGGTGAATAGTTTAAAAGTTTACTCCAAAAGTATATACTAATAAGTGACTCAAGCTACCAAACTGTCGATGAATAATTTTTGTGCGTGATTAGGATATTGATTGACAGTTCATGTTTTGTTCATAGCAAAAAAAAAAGATTTAAAATATTCTATTTTTCCGATTATAAATAGTATTGTATTATGTGATAAATTTTCTTAAATAATATCCAATAAGATAATAGCATAAACAAATTATCGAACAGTGTTGATTAATGATTCATTTATTGTGTTAAACAAAGTGTTAAAAGGAAATTAAGAATTTGGTGAATTGTTCAAGTTTACGTAAACAAAGTATTAAAATGTCAAAAAATAAATTAAATTTGACATTGCCACCAGGCTCGATAGAACCTGCTTCAGCAGTATCGCCATCACCTCCAGTACCATCACTTCCTTCTTATCCGGAACCACCTGTGATACCTGAGTAAATTTTTAATTAATTTATCAATTCATAGATATATTTAGCTGATAAATAGAATGATTAACTATCACGTTAACTAGATTATTTATTAAAGTTTTAAAGAAAATATAACAACTATTTTAATACATCAAACATTTCAAACGTATACTTATATTAAATAATATTTTATTAATAATTTAATCCGTATAATTTACCAACTATTTATTAAATGATTAAAGTAAAATGAAACTTAATTATCAATATTTATAATATAAATTTCAGTGGAGTTATGGGTAAAATAAGTATTGATGCTATACAAGAGAGATTAGAAGAATTGGAGATGGATGAAGAACAAAGGAAACGACTTGAAAGTTTTTTAGGACAAAAAGAAAAAGTTGGAGAATTATGTGATGATGACTTTGAAAAATTAGGCGAATTAGGAGCAGGAAATGGTGGTGTTGTAATGAAAGTTAGGCATAAAAAATATGGTCTAATTATGGCGAGAAAGGTATAATATATTATTAAATATTAACTATCTTATATAATTTATAAATCTAATAATTTTTTCAGTTGATACATTTAGAAGTAAAGCCAGCAATTAAGAAGCAAATCATTCGTGAACTTAAGGTACTTCATGAGTGTAATTTTGCTCATATAGTTGGGTTCTATGGTGCTTTTTACAGGTTTGTCTATCATTTTTAGATACATATTCATCTAATGTTCTAATGACAATCGTAAATAAAAATTAATTTTTATAGTGACGGTGAGATTAGTATATGTATGGAATATATGGATGGTGGATCTTTAGATTTAATACTTAAAAAAGCTGGAAGAATACCAGAGCCAATATTAGGAACTATAACATCCGCAGTAAGTTCTATTTTTTTTTCTATTCTCTTACCCATTCATTAAATACTAATTAAAAAATACATTCTAATAGAAATTTTTATAATTATTATCAATGAAAAAAATCATTAATGATATAAATAATTTAGTAATATGTTTCTCTCGCTATTATTCCATTCGGAAATTTTCTAATACACAATCGTCGAAATTCATCATAAATCCATAAAAATAGTCCGAGAGGTAAACAAGGTAAAAACCAATGAGGTTCAAGAGGACGTGTTTTTAAGACTTTTCCTATTCCTGGCATATATAAAAATACAGCGGTTAACATTATTTCAAAAACAAACGATGCATTGAGAAACCAATTTTTCATTCCCTGGTGAAATATAGAATTTCTTCTTGTTTTACACATAATGAGGTCAATCATCTGAGTTGTCACAATGGAAATGAAATATCCAGTACGTGCTTCATTCAACAAATTTATACGATTCTCATAACTCCATGTTTGTCCGTAAGAATCTTGTAAGTCTGTAATTGCTTTATTTTCCCAATCTGTTCGTAATCCAAATAAATCTTTGGGTAAAAATCCATGAAATGCAAGAATCATAAAATAATTAACGAATCCAGCCAATGCTTGAGTCATTCCAATTTGTCCGTAAGCTATTGATATTAATCGTTTATTTACTAATTTATCATATTTAGGATTTCTGGGTGGTCGTTTCATAATGTCAGATTCAGCCTTTTCATAAGCTAATGCAATAGCAGGTAATAAATCTGTACCAATATCAATACAAAGTACTAATTCAATAACAAAAGGCAACGGGATTGATAATAAAATACTACTTAACATAGGAATCATTTCAGGAACACTTGATGTTAATGTATAGGCAATTGATTTTTTTAAATTATCAAAAATTAATCTTCCTTCTTCTATTCCAGTAACAATAGATGCAAAATTGTCATCCATTAGTACCATATCTGCTGCGTTTTTTGCTACATCAGACCCAGCTATACCCATTGCCACACCAATATCTGCTTTTCTTAATGCTGGAGAATCATTAACTCCATCTCCAGTCACTGCAACAATTTCTCCTAAACGTTGGCAACTTTCAACGATCAATAATTTTTGCTGTGGAGATGTCCTTGCAAATACAATTTCTTCATAGTTTTTAATAATATTATCCAATTCACTGTTATCCATATATCTTAATTCAGATCCTGTGATAATAATTGCTTCAGTATCTGAATCTCGAGGTATTTGACTCAGAGATTTATCGAGTCTAAGAGCTTTTTCATATTGAGTTTCATGACCTTCTCCGATTATTCCTACAGCTTTTGCGATCGCCATTGCCGTTACTGGATGATCACCAGTTACCATAATTACTTTAATTCCAGCAGCTCGACAAGTATTAACTGCCTCTGGAACTGCAGGTCTCGGTGGATCAATAAGACTAATTAATCCAAGAAATCTATAACCATCTAGAGGAAAATTGTAATTTTTAGGATTGTCTGTATTAAAAACATAATTAGGTCCATATCTGCTTTCTGGTAGAAAAAGATCACAGTAAGCTAAGACTCGTTCTCCAAGAAAACCTAATTCAGTACAAGCCCTACGAGCTTCTCGCATATCGGCGTTTGTAAAATCTCTTGATTTCCCATCCATTAACAAAATTGTTGAACAAAATTCCATTATTACTTCCGGAGCTCCTTTTGCATATATATAATATCCATTTTTATCTCTATGAATTGACATTTGATATTTATTTATTGAAGTGAAAGGAATTTCAGCAAGTTTTGGATAAGTCATGCGAAACTTTTTTGTTGAATGTATATGCTCACAAAATTTTAATACACCTGTTTCTGATGCATCACCAATGACGTCTCTGTCTTCAATTTTTGTAAATACTTCTGAATCTTTACGAAATTCAGCTCTAAGACATAAAGTAGCTGCTTTAATGATTGAATGAAAGGCCGGCTTTTCTAATAACAGATCTCGTTCAGCTCCAAGATTCCAAGAGTCTGGAGGAAAATTATGTCGAATATTTCCAAACCACATATTTGATACAGTCATTTTATTCTGTGTTAATGTTCCAGTTTTATCTGAACAAATTGTTGATGTTGATCCAAGAGTTTCGACTGCTTCTAAATTTCTTACCAGGCAATTTTTATTAGCCATTTTTTTAGCTGTTAACGTTAGACTTGTTGTAACGGTAACTAAAAGAATTTCTGGAACATTTGAAATTATTATTCCTAATAGATATGTAAAACCTTTAATAACATTTGCTTCTATAATTAAAGATAGTCCAAAAAATACAACTCCAAAAATTAATGCAATAAATGTAACAATTTCAACAAAATGTCTTATTTCTTTAGCAATCGGGGTTTCTTCTTTACTAACTTGAGTTGCAAGACCAGCAAGTCTTCCTATCATTGTTTGATCTCCAGTAGCAATAACAATTCCAGTTCCTTCTCCAGTTACTGCGTAAGATGAAAAAAATGCTACATTTTGTGTCTCTAAAGGATTAGAATCTGTAGGAAAATCTGTTCTTGGAACAGATTCACTTTCGCCAGTTATACTGGAATTCTCAACTCTCAATCCAACTGATCTTATTATTCTAATATCTGCAGGGATCTTATCTCCTAATCTGATCTCAACAATATCACCTAAAACAACTTTTTCTGTTGGTACCATTTTTTTTTCACCATTTCTCATAACTAATGCAAAAGTTGGGACCATTTTTGTAAAAGACTCCATCACTTTAGTATTTTTACTTTCTTGAATATATGCAAATAATCCTGATATTACACAAATTAATATTATTATTACACCAAACCATTCGATACCTTCTTCATCATCGTGACCCGTAGCAATACTTATTCCGTAAAGAACAAAACATAAACCGGCACAAACCCAAAGTAAAGCAGCAAATCCAGCAAACATACATTTTAATAGTTTTATATACTCAGGTGTTATTTTTGGTGGACTTAAAGCATTTGGAAGCTCACGTATTCGATTTTCTGCTTCTTCATCAGTCAATCCTGTTTCAATATTTGTATTCAACTTTATACAAAGATCTGCTAATGGAATCATATGATCATCAGTAGTAAATTCTTGATGAAGATCAATTATTTCATCATCAGTTAATTTTTTCTTTTGTATCTGTACTGTTGATGTTCTTTTGGCTGATAGCATTGAACTAACTTGAGCCATTTTTATTACTTATTTTTTATCTATTTAAAGTTGATGAAATTAAAATCAATATACTGAAGTTATTAAGTTTTGTTTCATTGATTTTGTTCTTTTTTTTGCTCCCCTCTCTTTCTCTTACTCTATTAGTAATAATATTATTTTTTCAGGTACTCAAAGGATTAAGTTATTTGAGAGATAAACATGCTATAATGCATCGAGATGTAAAACCAAGTAATATATTGGTAAATAGTGCCGGTGAAATAAAAATTTGTGATTTTGGAGTTTCTGGACAATTAATAGATTCAATGGCCAATTCATTTGTTGGTACCAGAAGTTATATGTCGGTAAGTCCAAAGAAAATATACTTTATATACTGATAGAGTTATAAATATATAATTTTATGAAACACTAGCTAATAAAAAATTGAATAATTTATAGCCAGAGCGATTGCAAGGTAGTCATTATTCAGTTCAAAGTGATGTCTGGTCTTTGGGTCTTTCTCTTGTTGAAATGGCTATTGGGATGTATCCAGTTCCACCACCTGATACAAATACTTTAGTATCAATATTTGGTCCACAAGCTCTCCAAGTTTTACCAAATGATACAGCAAATAATACATCCACGCCAGCACAATCTCCATCTCACAGTAATGATAATGAATTATATAATTAAATATTTAAATCAGACATTTATTTTATATTTATAATTTTTTTATAATATAGATGCCAACAGCCCACGGCCTATGGCAATTTTCGAATTGCTGGATTACATTGTGAATGAACCTCCACCAAAATTACCTCCAGGCATATTTACTGATGCTTTTACAGATTTTGTTGATAGATGTTTGAAAAAGAATCCTGCTGAACGTGCTGATTTAAAAACATTAATGGTATATAAATTTATTTTATTAAATATTTTAATAAAAAATTATCCTTTATTAACTAAATATATTTAAATTAAATGATATATAGAATCATGAATGGATAAGAAAAGCAGAAGCTGAAAATGTTGATATTGCTGGCTGGGTATGTCGAACAATGGATTTGCAACCGACTACTCCTACTCGTTTAGCTAATGTACAGTCCTGAATAAATGTCACTCTTACATACTTGACAACATATATACGCGTTCAGTACTCTTAAATCAGTTTTCAAGTTTACTCTGATTTGAACAGTGGCATTTTAAGTTGAAATATTTTATTTCCTGAAATATATAATTAAATAAAATATAAATCATATTAGGAAGAAATTTGAGAAATTTATCAAATAGTGTACTGTAACTGATTATTGGTAATAACTATATTTTTATGTAGACAAATACGGAACAAAAGTTAAGATAATAAGAATAAAAAAAGCTAACTGAAAAATGGAGAAAAAAATTTTTAAGAATACTAAATAATTATATAACTGCTTAAGATGTTATCTATACATTGTGCGCCACTGTGCTTTAATAATTTGTTAACAATTATATGAATTATAGTTGTTTAATTATATTAAGTTACCTTATGAAAGTATGTAAGACAAAACCATTATTATGTAAATTGAGTATAATATTGCAGCCATTGCTATGTGTTTACTGTGATAAGATTAGAGTAACGTTAAATTATAGTAAACCAACAGGTAAATTAATTAATTAATGTAAAAATATAATATATGTATATGAGTATAAAACTATAACAGATCATACTTGAGATTGATTAATTAATCAATTTAATTCACTGTCCGTCTTGTTCTTAAAAAATCTGTACCTGGAAGCTATGAAGTTTTTTTTTTTTTTGTTTCAAGTTCCACTATGATTTTTTAAGAGTCGGTAGGGAAAAAAAATGATTAGATAAAATAGAAAAACTAAATAAAAATAACATTAAATATACGTAATGTAAATATATCAATGATTCATTGATATTAAAAAATAATTAGTTAGCATAGTAAAGTATTAAAATTAAAAGTAAATTGTTAAAAAAAGTTGTATTGTAAAATAATTTTACTTAAAGTGAGTAGATAAAATGTTATTTGATTTTTTTTTTTTACTTTCATTATGCATTTTGATGAAAAATTTCTTACGTATTAAATTCTAATTAAATAAAATTAAACTATTAAACTAGTCAAAATCTTTGATAGATTATGGCAGAAGTCTACATTAAATGGATTGAAAATTGATAATTATAGAGAAATATTTAAAAAAAAAAATGGAAATAAATAATCTTAATTCAAGAATCCTTTATGAGAATTTCCATTATAAAAAATTAATTTGTAAAATATTAATTAACTCAAGCCTTAAAATATTGGCTTTAAAATAAAATCATCTCAATGTACTGCAAGTGCATGATAGAAATTAATGATCAAATAAAAATAAGCGTTGACTGTTAGTTAAATTATGTAGTAAAGCGTCAAACGCTCAAGAATTCATTTTTTATATTTTATTTTTCAAGGCTATTAATGATGGTTTTTTATTCTCTTATAAATATGTATCCATAATTAATTTATCATTTATAAAAATTCAAATATAGTTATTAAATGTTTGATATTGTGCATCATTAATTATTGATTAGTATATTAAATCAGATTACGTTTATTACAAAATTTCTGATTTCTTTTATTATTATATGAATCAAAAAATTGACTTTAAATATAAAATTTAAATACTTAATTATTGTAAAAATTAAAAAATTATTATAAATTCATTGTTAGAATAAATTTTTTCAAGTTTATCTGACAGTATATTATATAATAAAATATACAATGATACAAATTGATTAGAAAATACTCATGTAATTCATTTATTTTCTTTATATGAATTTTTTTAGTGTCAGATAGTACCGAAAATTCAACAAAAAAGACACAATTAAATAAATAGCATACTATACATTACATTTCATAACATCACACACAAAATTATTGACAATCTATTATAAAAAATAAAAAATTTTAACATACACATATAATTAACCAATATAAACATTAACAATTTGTAACAATGGCGATACTTCTGACAAGTTTGATACATTTGTATTAGTTTCTCCTATAATAATTTTAAGAATTTTGTTATTAGTTCGTCGTTTAGTTACAGTGACAGCAGTCTCTAATGTTAAATTTGAAATTGAACATTTAGAAACATTAAGAAATTCTAAGTTATTGGCAATTCGAATAAAATTCATTATCCCAGTATCTTCAATTTTAGTACATCTTTGGCATTCGAGTTGTTTTAAACCCCGTAGATCTGTAAGCGCTTCATCAGTCACTTTATCCAAACAAATCATTTTGAGTGTTTCTAATTTTAATAAAGAAACTAAACTACTTATACCTATATTAGATATATTATCACAAAAACTTATATCTAAAAAATTTAATTGTTTACAATGCATAGAAATTCTGATTAATAAATCATCAGTAACGGCATAATTTCTCTGAAGATTTAACCATTGTAAATTGACCAGATCTGCTATAGGATACATTACATGTACTGATATCAATGGATAGATTGCACTAAATTCTAAATTTTTGATGAGTTTATTTTTTCCTATTACTTGTAGTGTTTCATCCGTGATGCAAGTACATGAATTTATTGTAAGAGATTGTAAATTAATAAATCTTTCAATAGCATCATTTAAATAAGTTGATAAAAGTGAATTACAACGTTTAAAATGAAGTTCTTCTATTTTATTTTCATGTAAGTATTTTAGACATTTGCCGGTAATATGATGGTCTCCTTCGATACCAAGATGTCTTAAATTTGTATTAAGAGAGAAAAAATCTGATAAAGCTTTCTCGCAAGGACCAGACAGTGACTTCATTACAAATTTTTTAATATTCAAACAGTTTGTCATTAAAGAATTAATTCCAGATGGTGATAATTCTAATGCAGTAATATCTATAAATTGTAATTTCGGACAAAATTTACCGACAATTGTTATTGTACTTGAGCTTAAAATATGAGGTGATTTTGATAAATTTAAATGTGTTAAATATTGTCCACATCGAATTAAAACTTTTCTAAGTGTATTTGTATTTACTAATGGAAAACTGTACTTCGAAGCCAATCCCCAAGTTTTTGTTTCCAAATCTAATCTTTTCACTGCTCTCCAAGACTCTTGACTGAGAATTTGCCATCGTTTGCATACTATTATGGTACAAATATAAAATAAATCATATGGTTGTTAAAATGAGACAGTTAATAGATAAATTTACTTACCTCTTTCCATACGTACTCTATCAGCAATTGGAAGGTATAAAAATATTTTAACTAAGCAATCATCATTTAAGACATTGATAGGAGAATCGAGATTCGTAATTGGTTCAGACAATTCTTCATCACTTTTTGAATTATCCAAATTATTCTTTTTTAAAACTAAGAATCGTTTTTTATTTTCAATACTATCAGGTTGATGCCATGGGTCGGCTGATAAGACTTTAAGAATACGACGGTGTAAGTGGATTGTACTATAATAGGCAGCTTTTCTAGCTCTACAACATTTTTTTCCGTTAATAAATAAACAAAAAGTATTTATTTTAAATAATTCATTTACTTACTCGACAGCACTTTCAGCATCACTGTAAGTTATAAAACCAAAACTACTTTTTCCATGAGTTCGTTTAAGGTAACAACTGTCGATTTTTCCAAAAACCGAAAATAATTCTTCTAAATCTCGAGTTGTTGTCTAAATAATCATAAATCATTATTAATAGATCTAATTTTGATGAACTTTAACTTACTAATAAATAAATCTTACGCGATCTGCCAAATTGCTAACAAAGAGTTTTCTGATAGGAACTCCGTCTTCATTAATTGGTGATGGATCACGTAATTCTCTTTCTATATAAAGAAAAAATTTTATTCAATAAATTATTAATTATGTTAGTAACCAAATTTGATATTAAAAATATAATTTACCCTGTTGCATTAGATAGGGTACTACTTCCATTGTTTTGAACAAGTTGTCAAGATCAACAGAATCCATAATTACCAAAAATTATAACAATTTCTGGTGAATTAGTAGTAATAATTATATAATTATTTCAATTAAAAATTAAGTTTCTACTGATTAAAAGGGAAATTTATAACAATTGAGCAGTAAAACTACAGTTTTATACGTGTATATATGTATAGTACATAAAGGTGCTATCAAAAATACTGTGAAGAGAGAGTCTCTGGTACTGAGATGTCAGAATTCATGCTTAAACATGACAGACTGTGGTGAATTTGTGATAAAATTTTAAATTTCTCCTAAATCATGATTGTTTAATGGCAAATTATTTTTGAAGAGCGATAACTGTGATAAATTTGAGAAAGGCATTGTCAATATAAATATAATTTCAGTATTATTAATAAATTTATATCAAAACTTAGCGGTAGGAATTAATTTTTGAATTTTATCTTCATTTTTGTATTCACGCATGCGTTGAATTAGTCAATTATAAGCAGCGACAACTATCGGTTGGTAAACATGTACTTTTAAAATGGCTAAATTTAATCCCGAAATGTTAGACCATTGAACATCTAGACAATTGGTGTTTTCTGTTTTTATGTATACATATGTATTGTCTATCAATCAGGTAAAAATTTTGTAGAGTTTGAATGCTGTATTTATTTCGATAATTCAAGAATATTTAAACAATACTAATAAAGGTAAAATAAAATTATCTACATATTTGCATTACTTTGACATATTTTTAATGTTTTACTGTAGATAAGACAATAATTACGTAATACTTAAACTATCTACTAAGATTGTGATTCTACAATCTATATATTTTAGTAAAACAGACATTGCCTACTCAAGTATTTCTGTTTATTTTAGTAATTTATTGTTAATTTAAAAAGATAATCATGTAGATAATTTTTATGTTAAATTTATTTCACAGATGTCTGAAAAACAACTAGCTAAACCTTTGATGCGAGGTCTTTATGCAAGAAAACTCAAAATTCATATTGGACTAGCAGTAGCATGTAGTCTTGCAAGTGGTCTGGCTTGGAAAGTTTTTTACATGGATCCACGAAAACGAGCTTATGAAAAATTTATGAAGTATACAATCTTAAATTTTTTTATTGATTGAATACTCATACTTTTGTTTTTCTTATAATATCAATAATTTTTTTAGCTATTACGATCCCGAAAAACATCTGCAGATTATGAGGGAAGCTGGTTTATTACAGTCAGCTCCTAAATGAACATTCTATTGATAAATAAGTAGTGATAATAACGGAATTCTAATTTAAGTCATTAAATTATATATAAAATATTAAGAAAAGTCATGAAAATTGTATAATTATGACACTTATGTTGAAATAAAAGTATAATATAAAAAAATAGTAAAATTAAGAGGTTAAGTTAATGGACGTAAGATTTATAATAAAAAAGATGTCGTTAGTTGTTATGTACCCATAATGCTCCGCGCCATTGATTGGCGCATGTCAGTTGGTTGCATTGCAAATGGCGGCTCCTTGTTATTGTTCATGGCGTTTTATGACTTGTCCCTTTATATTGCCGATTATGACGAGTATTTGTGTGATTTATACGACACACCGTGTCCAGTGGATGGATTAATTATCCTACTTAGTTATTATTGGTTAATATAAATTGAAAGGTTCTGTGATTTAATGAGATCTGTGAGCGATTAATCCCACACGAAATTGGAAAGAAATGGGGTAACGTTAAAATCATTCTGTATTCATACGGTATCAAAGCACCCTATATCAGTGTAAAAATTGTATCATACAATACTCAGTAACATATTCTTTATTGTTATCATTATATAGTTATGTGTTTTAGCTTGTGTTGTAATTAACATTTTCGATGAAAAAAACATAAAATTTATGTGCGGTTGACGGTGCTATCATGAGCATGCTTGAGTCCACTTCATGTTCGCCTCCCCCGACGTACAAAATGGTGGCCCCCTCGATCTCCAATGGTCTAGATGTCTTATTTATACTTAAATCTTTAGAAAATTTCATTCATTAGTGAATATTTTCATCAAAAATTTATTAACAATATATTCCGTGATGACTTACTAATCACTTTAGATATATGATTTATTTTATAACCTATTTTCAATTTCTCTAAAACTAAGCCGCTTTTCTGTATTCCAAAAGTTTTCAATAATTATTTGCTAATTATTTGAATTACATTCAAATTTATATTTATTCATTTTATCTCGGAGATAATATTACTGAGCCTCCTGTGATCTTCGTTATTTTGAAATATTTAATTTCCATTTGTATTAATTGATGTGATAATAAACCACAATTGCCATTAAATTATAACCTAATGTTATATATTTGTGTTTATATCATTTTATTTAATTGTTTGTATTTGCTACATCATTATTTATTTCGCATTTACAATTTTACGGTAAAACATTTAAAAAATATATTTAAATATTAATATTATTATTAATTATTATTGATTAAATATTCATCTTATTTACTATTCTTCATTTTCTAATGTTATTAATTTGTTACAGGCAATACATAAATTAATTCCACGACCTGGCGTGAAGTTTAGATCTGTCGGCTTGTTCTCTGTGAACAAGTACTTTACCAGGCAAAAGACACTTTTTATACCCTGAGACCTTATCAGGCTCTTTGGGTAGTAATGTAATTAATGATTGGTAAAGTATATTAATCTCTTTAATTACTTTTTTTTATTAGTAAACTTATTCTTCTATATAAATTGAAATTTTTTGTTATTATTTTTTCTATGTTATATTTAATTTTGTGAATAATTGTTTTTACAGTCATGGCGGCAGATAGTGATGGTGATTTGATAGAGACAGTGGTGACCTGTAAAGGTGATTTAACAGATCCTGAGTTTCCAAGTAAATTCAAAATCATTGTTGATCGTTTAAAGTGTTTGCTATCTAAAGGTATTGAAAAGAAATTTTTTTAATAAATTATTATTTATTAAGTAATTTTCTTGATTACAATATTTTAATTATTATTGGTAATAATTATTTTTTTTATATTGTATTACATTTTAAAAATTGTAATGAAGAAAATATAAATTGTTATATTTGTTAAGTTTTGATATCTAAATGTTTGATCAATTGGTAAACAATTATTTTTAATTATGATTATTATTATTTCCAGAAAAAGGCGAAGAATTAAAAGTAAATAAAGTTGAACCATGGAATTCCGTAAGAGTAACATTTTCAATACCTAGAGAAGCAGCTCTACGTCTTCGTGAGTTAGCAAACGAAGGATCACCAACGCTTACACAGCTTGGTATTTTATCTGTTCAAGTGGAAGGGGATCAAGTGATATCTTTGAGAATAGCCAGCAGATTTGGTGAAGAAACTCAAGAAATTGTTTTACATTCAGGAGGATCACAAGAAGAAAATAAGTCTCGAAGTGACATAAATGTTGGAGTATCGTCAAGTTGTAGTAATAGTAGTAGTGGTAGTAGTAGTAGTGATGTTTTGACATCGACACCTGGCCCTAGTAATTCTAGTAATATTTCATCGACGATTCGTGATGTAGCTCAATTACTTGGAGCTGAAGGATCATGTGAAAAGACACCACAATTTCGATCACCGAACGTAGTTGCACCTACAGACTGTGATCCAATTCCAGCATTTCTTACGAAATCCGTTCAGTCATCTAGTGGTAGCAGTAATATTGTTGGCAATCAATCAACAAATAATTCAAATGTATCACCTCGAAATAATTACAATGGACCATTCCCTTTTGCAAGTATGACTCATGCAGCACAAGCAATTCATAATAGAGAGTCACAAAGTATTACAATAAAAACTACATCGTTTAAGCATCATACTCAACCACCACCACCTTATCCTGCTCAAGAGGCTTTAACACCATCTCACGGATTGACACCTGGTCATACAACTCAATCAAATATTCCACCTAATCAAGTTGTTAGTCAATATAAGGCAATTCCTTCAACGTCCAGTACCTCCAGTAATCTTGCTGGAACTTCTAATAGCAATCAAGTTGCTCTTTCCAGTCCCCTTTTGGTAAATTTACTTCAAAATGATGGAGCATCACATTCAAATCATGTGATATCGGGACAAAAAGTGCAACCACCTACTGTTGTTGATTCTGCGTTAAATCGTATGAAACCTACAAAGAAACCAACAGTACGTAGGAAAGAAATACCAATCACGAGTGAATCACCACCTAATCTTGATTCGTTAAGACCTGAAGATTTAATTGGTGGTTCAGCTAGTACTGTTAGTAATCTTGTTCAAAATACTGGGCCTTCAGCTTTTGCTACGGTCAATGTTAATCAACCATTAACGTTATCACAACAAAATGTTAGTACATCAATGCCAGCACCTCAAAGTCACCAGGTACCAGTGGCTAATCAAATTTCCCAACAAAATCAGACGGTACATACTCAAGTACAAATCCAACAAAAATTCCCTATAAGGCAGGAAATAGCGTACCGGCCAAATCAAATAGTCCATAATCAAGTAACTGTAAGAAATCCGATAAATGGACAACAAGTTAGAACTTCCCATCAGCAAAGACAGCAATTACTTCTTCAACAACAGCAACAGCAAATTATAGTTCAACAAAATATTGTAAGTAATCAAGGTCAAATAATGCAACAATCAGGAAATACAGTTTCTCAGCAAATAATTCAGTCACAAAATACTTCGACTCTCCAGTCCGTCCCAATAAGTAATCCTCAGATAATTTCTCAACAACAAATCATTCAACAACAGCAGCAACAGCAACAGGTAGGAATAAATATTGCTCAGCAACGCCTTGGATATTTACATAATAATCCACGACAATCGACTCCACCACCTTATCCAAAACAGTCGACAACAACTACGATGACAACTCAAGTGACAACACAACATCAACAACAACAAGGACAAACTTTAAATGTTCAACAACAGTTGCATCATAATCAATTGAAAACTATAAATGTTAATACTAGTGCAACAAATGATTTTCGTTATGGTCAAAGTCAAAATATTCTTAGTAGAAATTATTCTACAACTGCAACCACAAGCGCCAATGGGACCACTTGGAATCCACAGAATTGTTCCATTTCACAGGGTGCTCAAGTTAATTCTACGCAACGTCTGGCATCGCTTATAAGTCAGACTCCAGCTCTAGGTGCCTTTTCACAGGGTGTTACACGTGTAAATCATGTTACTACCCCAACCACAACTACCGCTAATACAAATACAAATACTAATTTAAATGTTCAAGAATTATCCGAATCAACCACAGTTAATGAAAATATCACAGAACCTGAACCAGAGTATACATCAACTGGAAAAATAAGACAGTTTTTAATTAATCCTTTAACTGGCCATTTAGAACCAATGCCAAGTGAAAGCTCAGATTCTGAACCAGAAAGTGCTGTTGATAATCAAGATGACTTTTTTTCTTTTCCTTCTCCATCCAATGACCGCTCGAATTCTATTTTTTCGGATGATGATGGAGATAGTAATATTTCACGTAAAAATGATACGACTACAAATACAGATCAATCAGATTCTGAAGCTACTGGTAAGTCAACCGGTAGTGAAGGAAGTTTAAAACATGGAAGAGTAAAATCGGCGAGAGATAGTCCAATGCCAGGAGAAAAAATTAAATTAAGATTGAAATTAGAGAAATCAGAACCAGTGACACCAGCTTATAAAGTCGATGTCTCTTTTGTTAACACTCCACCAATAAGGAAAGCTGATAAGTCTGTTAATAAAATATTTACGGGTATAGCTACTAATTCTGGAGGAAGTGGTGATGAACCTAAAGTTCCTCCTCTCCATATTTCATTACGAGGTAGAAATGCATCAGTTGTACAGATCCGTAAAAAGGAAAAGAAGTCTCTAAGAGAAGAAGATGATGCAGCAAATATCAAAAGACGGGGAAAATTAAAAAAAATTAAGGAATCAACTGATGGCAATAAATTATTGCAAAAAAAATCTTTAAATATGATTATTGGAAGTGCTTCTAATACGAAGTTGCCTTTAATTAATTCTACAACCGTTAATACTGCTACTACAATTACCAAAATAAATAATTCACTTACAACCATTGTAACGAAGCCCAACATACAAAAACAAGATAGTATTGTTGATTCTTCACCACGATTACAAAGTACTGGTAATAAACCAAGTTCTAGCAAAAGCAATGATGTTGATGATATTCCATTAAATAGCAGGATACCTTCACCTCTGAAGCATAAAACAATCATCTCTCAATCTTCGAATTCTCAAGTGCTAAATAAAAGTCAAACTGATGTTGAAATCCAAAAACATACGAATGAACATAAAATTGGTGGAGGTAATTAAATAATTAATTAAAATTATTTTTTTTTATTCTATGAATTATTATTATAATAATAATAATTTTTTTTTTATTTTTATAGGAAAAACAAAAAGAAGAGATTCAAGAAAAAAAATAGATACGAATGAAGGTCCACATAGGGAACAAAATTTATTGTCAGGTGGCAGAATTTTAGACAATCAAACTAAATGGAAAAAACTTGCATACAAAGGTGAAACTGGACAGTCAGTTAAGAAGACTGAAGTACCTGCTAATGATGCTGGAACAGTTAAGAAAGTTGGAGAAATTAGAAGGACAAGTGACAGTGATGTTAACAGATCTGTAGTTGAAAAGGGGAATATTATAAATGATGTTACTTCCAAAGTTTCTGAAGTTAATGGAATTAAAAAAGAACTTATTAATCAAGAAAAAAGAAGACGTTTGAGTTTAATTGAAGAAAAAGACTTTCATACAATTGGTAATTATTTAAGATTAATTTTTTTCATTTGTTTTTGCTTTATATAAAAATGAGTAATTTTTAATTATAAATATTTTTTCTTTTGTTTCTAGAATCTCATAATACAGAAGTTATTCATACATCTTCAGATACTTCTATCAATGTTTCTGGAATGTCAAAGTTAACTTCAAACACTTCATTTGATAGCAATACTTCAGTAACAAAAAGTATGAATTTACCATTATCGAGTTCTACTCACTCAATAAATAAACGTGATGGAAAACCTTCTGGACAATATGAAATGACAGTAAAAACAGTGCAGTTAGGGAATAAAATGGTTCCAGGGAAAAGTAAAGGAGAAATGGAGATAAAAAATGATGCTATGAATGTAAAAAATCAGAGTGTACTTCAAAAAGTAAAAAATCATACTTTAATGAAAAATGAGTCTCCCGTAACGTTAAATAAACATAAAATAGATCATTTGAGTCATAAAAAGATAACGCAAAATAATATGATCAAATTTACAGAAAGAACTGCTGTTACACCAGCAAAAATTGAACATAAAATAAGTTTATTAAAAACTCCAGTACAAAATTTAACAGTTTGTACTACTGAATCAGTTTTGAGGTCATCAAATTCTGATTTATCTATAAATAAACAACAACAGCAAAATCTTCCAATAACTGAAACTACAATTGTTATGGTGGAAAGAGAGACTAAAGCAAAACCAAAGCTACCAGACAATGCTGTTCTACCGATTGGAATAATTGACACTAATACTGAGAGGGTGGGAAACGTAGGTAACAGTGGAACTGCTGGTGAAGATTCTGGTATTGAGTCGATGGATGCGCTCTCCGAAAAATCACCTAATCAAGGTGAATCTCCTCTTCATAGACCAGTGTCAAATGATCAATCAACTGGTCAAAGTTCTGTTGGATCAAAAAATCCAATTCAAAATGAACCAACTTCTACCATTGATAAGAACGTGCCTTCCTCCACTAACAGTAATGATATGTGTTCAAATTCGCAAGTTTTAAAATCCCGTGATCCAAAGACTTTGAGTCCTATATCTGTTGCGAATTATCTTGATAACCAATTGAAACAAGAAACTAATCATAGTGAACCTGGTGATTCCAATGTGATGAGTGAACAATCTGTTGTATTGAATTCTACGACTATTGATCATAATGATAGACTATCTGCAAATATTGAAAATGTTAATAATCCTGAAAATAAAGTTAATCCCCCAAGTCCACTTGCAATGAATATTGTTACTACTTCTGAAACTAATAATGACATTGGTGATGATCGTTTATTGCAATGTACTCCGTCACGAGTTATTGACTCAATTATTGAAAAAAATTGTACTGAAAACAGTGAAAAGACAATCGAGGTTACACATGATAACATAAATGAAGAAATAGTCAAAAATAATTCTATAGTTAGTAATGAACATATGCCTTCGCAAAATAAAGAAGATGATGTTTATCAAAATAATAATGTAACGGCAAAGAAAAAAGAAGATTCAGAAATGAAAAAAATTCCGAGGCTTGAAAGTCCAATTTTAACTGAAACTAAATCAGAATTACTTTCTGATATTAACGTTAATGAAACACTTAATGCTGAAAAAAATCTTGAAATTAAAGTTGAAGTTGAACTGGATGATACAAGGCAACTGGATAGTATATCGTTACCGAGTAAGGTAGAATCGCCATCGAAAGTAGAGGTTGAATCAAAAACTCAAGTTGTACAACGACTTATAACTAAAAAAGATACATCAATAGGGCAAAAAATAGAAGAATCAAAGAAAATTGAAACAGAGAGTTTACCATCACCGTTAGGTGATGATCCACAACCTATTAGAATAACACCACCTCTATATACATATTCAAATCCTGTTGTTCTCCAGCGAGATGATACGCCAAGTCCTGCAGCGCAAAATATTGAAGTAGAATCAACTGAAATTGATCACATGAAAAGAAAAAGAAGAAGAAAGCAAGAATTAGAGGGACGTCAAGATGTGATTTGTATCGAAGAGAACGAAGAACATTTTGTGGAAAGACTGAATCCAATAAATTCAGAGGATTATGTTAAACGACCACCAAAATCATTACTTGAACAATTGCTTATTGAGATCCCTAATGATAATAGTGAAAAGCGATCTCTACGCACACGTTCACAAAAACTTAATAGTCCGGATATTATAAAAACACCGAAAAGCAGCCCTCATGGTGCAACAGGACCTGCAAGAGTTGAAGAACGACGAAGTATATCGCCTTTCGCAAAAGCCAGTCCGAAATTGGGTCTATCAAAATTATCTCCTAACACTGGAGCTGGATTAAAAGTTGGAAAAAGAAAAAGACAAGAGAGTGAAAGTTCTGTGGCTTCTGGGACTGCTGAAGAGACACAACCTAGGCCAGGAAAACGAAAATGTTCCGAAAATGCAGCTGAACTAATTAAAGCATGCATGGGTGTGGAAGAAAGTAGTCATATAAAAAAACAAATGCATAGTAAGGATGAACAATCGAAGAAAGGATTTAACATATTGGCCAAAGGCAAGAAAGGTGCCTATTCTTTAACTATTATTACATTGAATAATAATAAATAAATATTTTTATTAAATAGTATTTGACAAAAAAAGAAATTACAAAAATACTATCAATGCTGTCTTATTAAAAAATAAATCTATAAATATTATTTACTGTGGCAACAATGTTTCTCTTATCAAAAAGTAAGATTTAATATAAAAAAAATTGCATTTATAAATTATTTAGTTTCGTAAACAAATTATTACATTATCAGAAATATGTTAATTATCTTAATATATATATTTATATTTCAATATAATACAGGACAATTTTTAATAGTATATTTATTTATTATAGGTCCAATTCTAGTTGATGTAGAATCATCAGATGATGAACCTCTTATTGAAATTTCTGGTAAAGGACGTATCCGCTTAGCTGAAGAATCAACAGCTTCGCCCAAACTAAAAGATCCAAAGTAAAATTTAGTTTTTATATAAAATTATATTTTCTTGCAATTTTATTGAATCATTTTAAAATAATTATAAAATATTAATTAATCAAATTTATAATTTTACAGAACAACTTTGAATACTCCTGTCACTGGAGGCCAATTACATTCGAGCAATGTGTCAAATTTTAATGTAAATAGTCGAGTACAAAGGGAGAGTAGATTATTAACGACAAAGCAACCTGGAAATGTAAATTCATTATCTGTGGGTAAAGAAAGACTACGAGGTACATCTGTATCCAGTAATGAATCTGTTGGTGAAGTAACTACTCGAAGATCTGTAAGACAAAGTGCAGTTTCGCCCCTCACTACGCCTGCAAGTAATACAAGAGGTGCCTCACGATCTTTGGAAGATGTTAATAGAAGAAAAACTCGAAGTGGTACTGGTGAGTAACTAAAATTAATCAACAAGTAATTTCTCAAGAATATATATCTTTGTTAAATTTAAGGTAAAGGCATTAGCAATTTATAACTGAATATATATATTTATATTATCAATGACGGTCATTATATAATTATGATATGATATAACATATATATCGTTAATTATGTAAATTGTGCAATAAAATATTGTACATAATAAATAAAAATTAATAAATTATTATTGCACTTTGTGATTTAATGTTTTGAAATTATTTGAATAAAAATGTGTTTTTATAATGATCGTCAAAATTTGACATTAATAAAAATTCAATTTATAAAAACATGATCGTGAAAATAAAATTAATTATGTATATAGAAAAAAAAATATATATATATATAAAAATATATTTTTTGTTTAAGGTAAGATTTATTTTCAGTTTTGTTTTGATCCTTTTATTTGATAATTAAATAACAAAATTAATCATACAATATTTGTACCTAAATAAGAATCTTGGAAATTGTAAATAAATATTTTTAATAAAATAGATGGCCTTTATAATTATAAAACATTATTTATACTTTATGGTTATAAATATATATAAATATTAAATATAAACAAAATAGTTTATAAATTATATTTATTTTTAAAAAATACTATTTATATGAAACATTAATTCTATTATACATAATTGCAAAAATAAACTGTATAGCATTGAAATCCTACAAATATACATTTCAATCAAGTACAATTTTTAATTGTAAACATTATACTCAAATTCAATCATAGTTATTAATAAATTTCAATTTTATAAAAGATAAGAATTTATTTTCTATTTATTCATATAAAGTATTGCATGTATTCATTAGTGATTTGAATTTATTATATTAATTAATATTACAATAAAAATAATAAAAATAATAATAATAATAATAATAATAATAGTAGAATGAGTAGATTTGAATTAAAGGAAAAAAATCAACCTGATTAAAAATTCCAATTAAAAGTTTTCAATTTTATTCTTAAACATTTAAAAGTTTACCATTAAATCCGCTAGTGCCTTTACATTGATTAGTAAAAAAAAAAGTAGTTAAATAATTAATTAATAATTGATTAAAATTGAAAAAGAGTACAGTGAGATACTTGTTTTAGTGACAACCGAGACAGCTGAACAGGCTAAACGAAGAAGGATATCTCGAGAAAATAAATGACCTTCGGGAAGTGACCTTGACAGTGATTAGCTAACGTTGCTCGTCAAGGCCCTCATTATGTGGTTATTTGTCTAAAGTTACCGGTCATTAGATTACCATATGACTGGATCCCACCCGACAAATCCTATACACGTTAAATAGCGCACAATTAAAATGCTCTGTCAGTTTTCAGAGGTATCAGAAGTAAAATACATACTCGTTATTCATGATCTCATCCTCAATTTAATATCAATGCATTTAATGCATACCAATAAATGAGCTTTAAGCTCACAATTAATCAAATTGTTCTAATTATCGATCATTTATTTTATTTCTGATTATCTTTGACAGTTTAGTTACTTAGATTTAATCAAATTAAATTATTATTTGATTAATAAATAAATTAATACTATATCTTTATAAATTTTGTACATAAACTGAGTAACTAAACTATCCCGATTAACAGTTTAATATTACCGAATTATTGAATATTTCATTTTTATTGAAAATAATTTGTACAATAGTCTGTAACAATAATTATTAACTATTAATTATAAATTTAGACGAATGAGTCATTTTTTAAAGATTAAAAAAGAAAACAACAAACAAAGATGCAATAAAAAGTTTGTATTTCTTAATATTTCTCTTTCATTCTTAAGAAGATAAAAAAAAAACAATCGATTAATAGTGAATGATATTCATTATTTATCAACTATTTGTAAATAATAATGAGCTTTTGTACAAAATATAGATTAGTGAAAAAAGAGTTATACAAATAATGATCATTAATGTAAATGAAAAGCTATGCCATCATTATATGACTGTACTGCCGATTTTGATGTTTATGAAACAATTTTAAAATACGAAAAAAAAAAATTTTGACAGAGCAAAAAAAAAGAATTTTCGTGTTTTCATGTTGATAAAATAAATTAGTTAATTGGTGGGGTTTTATTAATATCAGACATAATAACCAAACTGAAGGTATCTTTTCATCGTACTTTATGATAATTTCTTTATTTGTGACTTTTGTTTACAATATAAAGAATTTTAAATTTATTCAAATACATTAGTTATACGGTTTTGTTATGTATTTTTGTGTATATGTGTTCTTCAATTAATTGATTTATAAATTAAAGAAATCATTGTAAATTAGATGATTTTTTATCTAGTTAATTATTAATTATTTGTGATAATGGTAGAGTTTGAAATTTCTTCTTATGAAAATTTTATATTATATAATTATTTTTTTAGCTTTTCGTTATTTGTTGAAGCAATTAGTTAAAAACAAACATAACCTTTCAGTAATGTTATATGGTAATCATCTTGGGCCATCAATAAATATTAAATTTTAGCAAAAGTCGAAGATTAGGAGTTTATTAATATCAAAAGATTTATTTTCTTTATACGAGATAGTAAATAATGAATGTTAAAATGATAATTCGTGAGAAAAAGTATGTAAAAAAAATTAATTATGGATATTAAAAATAATAAAAATAGCATAAAAACGAAAATATAATAACAATGGATTAATTAGAAAAAAAAAACATTTATTTGATAGATAATATATGAACGAATATATTTTGTAAATAATTTCTTGTAAAGATAATGCGGATGCACTTTCATTGTATATATAAAGCAAAGCATAAACAAGAAAAAACATTTGAATTTCTATCATATTAATTAATAATAAAAAGTGTACGACTATATTGTCATAAACTATGGTACTGATAACAATAATAATAATAATTATTCTTATCTTCATTTATAGAAAATCTTATTATTATTTTCTCTTTGTTGTTCACATTTTTTACTCTTAAAATACATTAGTTTTAACATAAAAGAATAAAAAATATTTTCTTCTTTAGCACACCTTCAAAAGAAACTCAATATGTATATTTATACATATGATGAAATCCTAGAAATTATGTCGATGGTTTCTTATGTACGCTTAGAGAATATAGTTTTCTATTGTATACATGTAAATTATACAGTTACAAGTTAAAATGTTTAAACGTACTGCTTGTAGCCATCGACTTATTTTCCCTTCGTAAGTATGAAAAACGTAAATTTAGATATTGCTTATAATTATTAATATAATAGAAATTATGTCATTAGATTGTCATTCAATAATATTATTATCATTATTATCAGTACCATTATTTCGGTGAATGGAAAGATATTTGATTACAATTCGTAAAATAATAAATGAAACATTTTCACTGAATAATATAAAAATATACATAAACACATAAACAAATATATTAAAGAAGTAAAAAGTTTTAATAAATTAATAAATGGCAAGGGTAAAAAGAAAAAGTTGTAAATCTGCAGTTGTAGCATTTCGTAATTGTTTTTTTTTTCTTTCTTATAAAGACAATATAGAATATATTTTTAAAAAATCGTTAATTTTTTATTACAATAATAATCGCGATAATAATAATTTCTTCTACTACTATTACTATTACTACTATTATTGTCACTACTATTATTACTTCTATTATTATTATATTATTATTATTTTATTGTATATAAAGAATGCGTAATTATAATCAGTGAATAATTGATTATTGATAAGACAAGTATCATGTATATAAAAAATTATTAGACAACGGTATAATAATTATGAATCGAAATGTTTTATCAATATTCTTATTTCTTTAATATTCTGAGTTATTTGATGAATGTACAATTATAATCGTATAATATAATGATACCAATGAATGATTTATTAATGATAGTTAAAAATACATTTAAAAAAAAAAATAAAATACATTGTAATTTTATATGTAACATACTCTGTTTGATTTATATATTACAGAAGTAGGGTACTTTTCAAAATAATGTTTAATTATAAAATAATTATTATAATTTGGTAATTAATTAACAACTTGTATACACAATACATTAAATAAAGCTTGACATGTGTAAATATTATTATTACAATTTGATTTTAGTATAATTTAATTTGCTCACCTTATTAAGGAGCTTTTTGAGTATTTTTCAAACATTTAAATGTATGTTCAAAGAAACTCTAAATATATTTCAGGAATAATTTATATTTAAATTTATTATTGTCTTATTTTTTATTTCAATTATCTTTCAATAATTACCTTTATCATAAATCATAATTTTATCGTTTTTTTTTTTTGTGCTTGAAACATGTAAACCATAAAAAATTCATCAAGCAATTTGTGTACTCTAACAAATGTATAGTGAAGTATGTTATACATGTACTTTCTTGTAAGCATAAAAGAAATATTTATAAATAAAAATACTTATAGGTAATTATTATTAAGTAACAATATAGAGAAACAAATTACTGTAAAGTTATAACTAAAAGTGTCTTAAAAACGCTGTTTTTTTTTTTGTTATTAAACATGTATTTCTTCTCATAATTCAATCAAAATTAAATCATACATATGAATAAAATCATGCACAATAATTTAATAAGCTCCCCTACGTGATAAGTGAATGAAGAAATTTATTAAGATCGAATATTAATGGAGTTAAAAAAAACAAATAAACAAATAAGGAAACATGTTTTAGAAATGTCAAACGTGATGCAAGTATGTGTTATTAATATCTGTGCGTGCAAAAATGATTTGTAATTTCTAGTATTTAATTAAGATAAAAAATTTTTGAGATAATATTATAAGAGTTTGTCTACAATACAATAATAATTGAAACGAGTATTAAAAAGATAAATAAAAAAAATAGCTTTAAATTAAGTAATGTTATATTTGTAGAAGAATCATCAAGCATGCAAAGTAAAACAAATAATTGTTGACTATTATGATTATTATTATATAATATTATACAAATGATAAAAAATATAAGGTAATCTATAAATTGTACCTTTCATTCAATAACCATTGTAGAAATATCAATGAATGAACATCTCTTTCATGTTTTAAATGAAATATCGTAGACTTATCAAAAAATGAAGTGTTATAAAAAAAAAGTTTTTTAATTGTTGTGTTTTATTAACCCTCATATACATTTACAATTTTATATCATTATATACGAAGTTATATATATTTTCTCGCTATTTATTAATAAAATAAACTCATCAATGAAACATTAAAATTGTTTGTTAAATAATTGTAAGATAACTATGATTATGTTAATAATAATTTTAAAATATTTTATTTTGACATTTAATTTACTTGCATTAATAGATATATTCTTGTAAAAAAATATTGAACACAATGAAAGATGTAGCTGTGATGAGGTTCATCTAAATTTCAAACGTATTAATCACTGAGGTTATTATTTATAACAAAAGTGAGATTTTAAATCTATATTAAATATTTCTTTATTCTTTATTCCCCCCTTGTTGAATGAAATTTTTTTTTTATTCTCAGCACAATCCTTGCTAAATTTAAAAAGTGTAATCTATACCATCACCATATAACAACTGTAAATAGTGCGAAAACTTTCTAAGGATGTCGCTGTGTATATACTGTACCTTCTCTACTACTTGGCTGTTGTATACACACATAAAACTCCATTTTTACTTTCAAGTATATACTGTACGGTATTTTTGAGTTTGGATTTAATACTGAAAGAGCGTTGGTGAAGTGTTTATTGCTTTATTTATATTAAAACATATAAACATTAATTGAAAAAAAAATCTTATATTGTCTATTATCATTTGCACTGAAATTGTTTTTTTTTTTGTTTAATTATGAAATTTTTTTTACATAATTATTTTGTAAATTACTTAACATTTCCATAGGTAAGACTTTTATCTATTTTGACTGACCTATTTTTATGGGTTAGATAAAATTTTTTTTTTATACACAGATGTTCTTGTTAATAATCAATATATTTAGTTGCCAATGAATAAATTTTTATTGAATGTTTTTTATTTTCTTTATTTACTAACATACAAAAACACTATACAACATAATAGATGGTATCAAGAAATATTAACAATTTACTCAACAGCTCTTAATCTAACAAGTTTTTACATTTGTTACAAGTCATTATTCTTTTTAGCCTTATAAATAATTTGCTAATTATTTATATGATATAAGAATTATTCATAATAACAATGAGGAAAATAAATAAAATAATTATTTAACAATTAACAAAGGATAATTGCTTTCTTTAATTGTCAAGTTACTTAAAAATATAAAGTAAACAATGCAAATACTTCATATTGCTAACTTCAATTATCCTTGATATACATTCGCTATGAAATAATTTATTACTTAACTATACAAAGACTATATAATAATTTAACTAATTTTACTAAAAATAGTAATAATTATTTTCTATTTCAAACAACCAAGTTTACTTAGTGATTATAATCAAGCAATTGACTATAATTTACTCATGTCCAAAGGTTAATGGATTACATCACAACTCGACCAAATTATAATAATGTTTTTCCATTTGTTTTTTTTTTTAATTAATCAGCACTTTTCCAAATACATATTCTTAATACGAATTTTATTTTCAGATACAATTGTGTTTTATATTGATTCACTGATAGTGTAATATTTCACTATAAAAATGACGATTTTAGAATCACTTAAAAAATCTGCAGTGGTACATTTAATGTTTGCTATCACTTTTTTTACGTCTGGATTGATTGTTAATTTACTGCAAGCAATATTGTACCTTGGACTTAGGCCATTTTCGAAGTATTACTATCGAAAGATTAATTATTATCTATGTTATACATTTTATTGTCGTAAGTATATTCATTTAATATTATTTAATAAATGAAAAGAATGAAATTTTATAACACTCCAAAAGAATAAAATGAATCTATTACATAGTTAATTTAAAAACATATACAATAATGCAATACTTGAATCACTGTCAATGACTTCTTTATGAACTTATTAAAGTATCATAATAGTCTCAACTTAAAAGAAAAATGTTGATAAATTAAAAAATTTTTTTTTCTACTTTAGAATTAGTTTTTATGGCAGAATGGTGGGCAAATACAGATATGATTGTTTACATAGATGAAGAAGAATTTAAAAAATATTATGGTAAAGAACATGGATACTTGTTGATGAATCACAGCTATGAGATTGACTGGCTATTGGGATGGATATTTTGTGATAGAATTAGAATGTTGGGGGTAATGTATTAGTCACAAATCTATTAAGCAATCGATTAGATTAAACAACATAAATTAATTTTTCTAAATGTTTAAAATATGCATTCATAAATTGCAACACTTGCAAGTATCAATGAGGCATGAGATTGATACACTATTTTATTATCAAGTATACAAAGTTAGTAATATTATGACACTAATCTTTATTTATACATGTATATGTATTTGTAGAATATTTTTATTATTAAATTTAAATAAGACAGAATCATTACAACAAGAGTATTATGGATTAAGTGATTTATTGAATATCTTTATTATTTAGAATTGCAAGGCTTATGCTAAGAAATCAATTCAATATATTCCAACTCTTGGATGGGCTTGGAAATTTGCAGAGAGTGTATTTTTAGAAAGAAGTTGGGATAAAGATAAAGAAACGATTGGCCGGCAAATAAGAGAATTAGGTGACTATCCTGATACAATGTGGGTAAGTTATCTCTTATTTTTATTTACATAATTAAATAATTAATTTATCGTTTATGTTATGTAAAAATTGATTTAAATTAATTTCCAGCTACTCTTATATGCCGAAGGTACAAGATTTACTCCGGAAAAACGTGAAGCTAGTCAAAAGTTTGCTAAAGAAAAAGGCTTACCTTTATTAAACTATCACTTAACACCTCGAACAAAAGGTTTCACTGCAAGTATTCCACATCTCCGCGGCAAAGTCGATGCTATTTATGACATTCAATTAGCATTTAACCCACAAGCACCTGTCAAACCGACCATGACTAATCTTTTAAAGGGAGAAAAAGTTGAAGGACATATGTATTTTAAAAGAATACCTATCTCAGAAGTTCCTGACAATGAAGAGGATGCTGCTGTTTGGTTACATAAGAAATATGAAGAAAAAGTAAATTTCCTTATTTACATGAATGTATATGTTGATAAATTCAATTTAATTCATGAATTGATACGATTAATATTTTATTGGATTACATTGAATATTGTATATGGCTTCTATTTTTAGGATCGAATGGCTGAAAGTTTCATGCAAACAGGTGACTTTTTTGCAACAAGTGGAGTCCCACGCACACAACAGTTTAGGTTACAAAGAAGATATTATTCCTTGATTAACACGATATTCTGGGCAATTATTGTACTAGTTCCAATGCTGTACTATCTCGTAAAACTATTTCTCTCTGGATCGACTATTGCTTTCTCACTAGGAGCAGGCATATTAGTATTATGTAAGATTTTTTTATATAATTTTTAATATATTAAAAACAACAATTATATAATTAACTACTTTTGTTTTTATAGTTTATCTTCTAATGTACAAAACAATTGGAATGTCTAAAATTAGTAGAGGATCTTCATATGGTGCTGCATCAGCAAAGAAAATTCAGTAAGATACATATTTTAATTCATAATTATAAACAAAAAATAATAACAAACCAAACAAATAGAGATTTATCTTCAAAAACAATATATTTCTGTATAGTAAATATATTAAAAAAAAAACTTATTAAGACCGTGAGAATAATTATGAAATAAAATTTCTTAATTATTCATAATAATTTTTGAATTCAATAATTTCAACAAATTAAAACGTGATAAAGAATACATTTGTAGATACACACATGTGTATTTATTTATTACAAGCATATATAAATGTATATGGAAAATATTTATATGTAATTTTGTGATTTCTTTTCAATCTTTTGTATGTATGAATTTTATTGTTATTTAATAAACAATGAACAGATAAAAACTTAATATTAGTATAGCACAAAAATAACGTAACATAGTTTTTAAATAAAAAACAAAAAAACTATAAACAGTACTTTTTTTTAAATCCATACTATTTGCCTTCATTTTCAATCAAATTTTGGGCATCATGATTATCATTTAATTCATTTTGTTGATATCCTAAATGTGGATCCGATCTATAGAAAATCTTTTTAAATTTACCTCTAGGATCATAGTAACCGTACTGTCCTGTTACTGTTCCATTGACGTGCCTCTGTTCCCAACGAAATTGTCTGTTTTCGCTGAAAAAAAATTAAATATCCCTTTTATTAAGATCATAAAAATTATTATTATAAAAAATTTAACAATGTAGACTTACCCATCACCAGTATCAAAACCAAACACATACGATTCTGGTCCATCTTGACCATGAATATGGAAATCAACCCTATTTCCATTATCTAAAGATTCATTTATTTCCTGACTCAACTCTTCCTGTGAACTATCATTACTACTTTTATTTTTCTCATTAGATTCATCCCGCTTTTGATGTATCGGTTCATGATCTCTAACGTAATGTTGTTGCTTTTCTTGTCTATTTTCTTCTCCTTTTATGTAATCAGTTACAGAATGACTCGGTTTTTTAAATCTTTTTGAAGATGTTCGACGTCTATGAGCATTATAGAAACTCTTTTGTCCAATTTCAGGAGGTTTAAGATAAATTGATGGAGTGTTGGTTATTTTTGATACATTTTTATCTTGTTTTAACAAATGCTTATGATCTTTCGGCGATTCTTTCTCAAATTTTTGATGTATTTTTTTTGCTTTCGCTTTTTTACTTCGATTTGGAATTTTTTTAGAAATTTTAGAATTTTTTATACCATTTTTCGGCAATTTCATGTTAACTGCTGATGAACCAGATTTTTTGTAACCTTTTTTCTCATCTTTTTGATAATCAGAATAAACTGGATATACTTTGGACGGCTTTTTAAGTTGTCTTTCATATGTTATGTCTTTGAAAAAAGGTGGTAATTCTAGCAATTGTTTGTGATGATTTGGTCTTAATTGTGATGGATTGTATTTAGCAGGTTTTTTATGGAGTTCATCAACGTGAATGGCTGTTTTATGTTCTTTCGGTAATTTCATGTTTATTCTTTTATGATTATCTAATGATCGTAATGATATAATATTTTTTTCATTTTGAATATCAACCCTAGATTCAATTTGAGTCTCCAGAACACTGATGAAAGCTAGAATACACTGAATTATATTTTAATTAAATAAAAACTCTATCATAATTGTACTTATTTATCTAATTTTACAACTATTTTAAGTATTAAATTAAAAAAAAAAATTTTAAAAAATAAAAAATTTACTTACGATATATTTTATCGACATGCTCCTGATAGAAGATGACAATGAATGTAAATCAGATTACAATCGATATCTGATACGGGTCTATGATCTAGCTTTCTATTAATCCCTTCCTATTCCGGGAAAGATATATTTTATTTATTGTCTTGAACGCTTTTTTACCATCTCACTTGTTTTCAAGTTTCTGATCCACTTTTTCTGGTTCAATTGATTTATTACGATATTTCCTAACACGGAAAATTAAATTGTGGTATTGAATAAACCTGACATTAATATTGAAATTAAATTTCATATTACAGAAATACTGAATTTACTGGAAAAATTAATTTTATTTTAATTAACAAAAAAAATTATATATTTAATTTCTATGTAGAAAAGTCGTTTTTTTTTTTTTTATTTTAATAAATAATCATAAATGTAAATTATCTCGTAAGATTCATTGGAATGTAACAACAGGTGAAAAATTAATTGTAAGCTTCAGTAATTTTAAATATATTGCTTCATCAAATAAATCTCATCAGTGAATTCATTTTTTATTATATCTAATAGAAGTAAAAACTTTGGATATTTGAAAAAATGAAAAGAATATAAATCTACAGGAAAAAAAGACAATTGATGTGAATCCAATTATTTCAAATTAATACAAAAGCTATTTATATTTTTTTGATCCGGTTGTTTGTCATATTAGTCATGTTAAGTGAAATTTCATTTCATTCTGATGACATTAATGTGATATGCCTGACTTTGATGAGTAATTAGTTATGCCAAGATTGACTATATAAGATATTTTGCTAAAAATATCGTCATCAGAAATAGCTAACAACTTATTTTCATAATTTGAAATCATGAATATTTATTGGATATACTTTTTTCTAATCATCACAGTGATTCATCAGAGCCAAGTTTGTTTTCTTTGCTTACAATTAATTGATCAACAAATTTTTTCCTTTCCAGAAAGATTTACCAAAAAATTATCTATTCATCTTATCATTAATTTAAATGTAAAAAATTTATATTTTTCAGACACTAAGATGCCGATCGGGGAATGGAAAATTGGATAAAAGTATTCAAAAAGCTATAACTAAATGTAAACATGAAGAATCCAATGATTCCTCATCAATTGATGATAGTTCTTCTGATGAAAATATATCATCAGATAGCAGTATCTTTGATGATGAATTTTTCTCCTTTAACAAAAAGAATCAAACCAATTCTGATATATTATCTTCACAAAATTCAAGAAATAAAAATTCAAATAACGACTGTAATGAAAAATCAAATAATTACCAAGGGAATCAGAGATTTTACTACACACAGAATGCTAATTCTTCAAAAAAAATTGATACTAAATTAAGAAATAGTTATAATGACAAAGATCAAAGAAATAATAATAATAATAACAATAATAAAAATACAAATCAAAGTTCGAAAGGAAAAACACAGAATACTAATTCACAGAGAACTGATCATGATCAGCATTCAAAATCTGTAAGTCTGTAACTATTTAACTATTTTTCCATATTAATCAACGATATTTATTTATTAATAATATTTCCAGTGTTTCTTTAAGTGTTTATTAACTGAATTAAATGCAATCAATCGACGAGGGTTTCCTGAAAGAATAACTGTAACAAATTTATTGTTAAAAGATGTATACGATCCTACTGTTCGAGATTTGATTGAAGAATTCATCATAGAATGCTTTCACTTTTTACAAACTCAAATGATTGAAGATGAATGTACATTTGCTCAATATTTATTCGAATGTTTTGATAATAAAGGAAGAGAAGTATGAGTTTTTTAAATAGATAAAATAATTATTTAAATATAGAATCAATTGTTATATTATTCAATCTAATAATATTTTTTAGAGATGCGATGATTGGACTACTTCATGATTAAAAATATATCAAATCCTACAATAAAGGTTTTGAAATGTAATAAAACAATTAATCTATTGTTTAACAATATATTGTGAATGTTCACAAATAAAAACTATATGTTAAAAATATTTGTAATAATAATTTATAATTAATATAAATAAGTTTTCTGTACATTTTAGAAAATAATATAATAATTACTAGTTTCATCATGATTATTATAAAATATAGTCTAATAAAAATTAAAGCTAAACATAGGTAGTATTAAAAATATAGATTAAATTGAATTAGTATTTAATTTGTTAGAAAAGCTGGTAGATTTGCAAAAAAAAATGATAATATTTATTTCTATTATTTTCGTTTTTTCAAATTTTCAAAACGCTTCATAAGATCATTGAAATCGATATCATCATTTTCACCAGAATTTTCTGATGGTTCATTTTCAGTGGGAACCGTTGGCAATTCAGGCAACTGAAAATCATTTGGCATTTTTGATCTTGGTTGCGGTTTGGGTTTGAAATCAGATTGTTTATTTAAATCAGGCGGAAATGAACTATATGGAGGCGGTAACTCATCCTCCTACAACAAAATAAAATATAAAATTATCATAATTGTAATGTTCATTAAATTGTATTAAAAAAATGTTCAATAATTTACAAGTTTATTTCCGTTATTAGTATTTGCATTATCCAACGGAATGTTATACGAAAGAGCAGCTGGATTAAAAGGCACATTTTGATCTTTTTCGGGCATTAATGGTGCTCCAGGAGAAATAAATCCCATTGCTGGTACATTAGGCTTTTCACCACTATTCTAAAAATAGGAAAAACAAAAATAAATTGTCAGACTATATTAATTTCAAGTTTATAGACTTTAAAATAAACATAGATAAAAATTCATTTACATACTACATTGTTCATGTTGGGTGGAATATTAGGTAGCAATGGTGGTTGTGGAAACCCTATAAATCCAGCTGGTTGAGGTACCCCTCCACTTGCTAACTCCAAGTTGTTTGGCAATTCACCACCATTATTTCCAATATCAATCAATAAAGCATCTTGAGCTTCTGCCATTACTTGAGGATCTGGTTCATACTCGATATTATAATTTTTAGCTATTTCTATTAAATATTTTTCAACTAAAATTTTTGATGGTGTTTGTATGCTTATTTTGTGTTTTAATTTTTCAGAAATTGACGGAACTGTTTCATCTCTACAAGCTTCCATGTATTGTCTTCCATACTTAGATGTAAGAATATCAGATATTACTTTCATTTCTTGAACATCAGTTTGAATCCTTGGTGCTGCCCAAAGAATAGTTGAAATAGCTTCTGCTAGTCCTTCATCTAAGTTTCTAGATTGAAAAGAAAACATGATCATCATTAAATAAAGATTTTTCAAAATATTCCAAAAATATAAAAATATTTATACTTTCTTACTTCATTTGTTGGATTAGCCCAAATCTAGCTAACAATAAATCACAATACATTTCTAATAATTCCATAGCTTCGACCATATAATCTTCTCGGATAATATGTTCTACTCGAATTTTTGCTCTCTCAACTTTTCCACTTGCAATATAATCAGCAATTTCTTTTCTTGCTTTTTGAGCTAACTCGGTTTTCTTTTTTTCTAATAGCTTCAACCTGTTTATAGCTAATCTAAGATGTGTTTTTAACTTTGTGTAATTCGGTCCACTTGAAAACATTTTGAATATTTAATAGTGTAATTTTATTAATTGAATGCTACGTGACTTTTAAGAGAATTAAAATTATTTTAACACGTATGACAAGGAATATATTTTTAAAGGTGAATAATATCACGAACTTTAGGTATCTGTACTTGCAATTTTTTAAAAACGATCGATTTTAAATAATCAAAATAATAAAACCTTAGAGGTTAAATATCACAATTTCATCATTACAGATTCTTAGCTTAACTTTTAGACCATTTTTATTATATATTTTTCATGTGGAGTAAAAAAAAAACTGATTTTACACTTATCTTTACTATCTGACTCTATACTTAGTCATCTTTTCAGACTATAGAAATG